TCCATTAATTTTTTCTCATGAAAGTTTAGAGCCTTCCTGGAATCAAGGCAAGCGCAGATTTTCTACATTCACAGATTTCTGAATGCCAATAGAAATTAGTCTAGAAACAGGCAAGCTGTAAAGCACGATGTTGAACTCTTGCCAGCCTTGTGACGGCATCATCCCATGGACTTCCGTGAACTGCTGCGCGTTGCCCCTGCTGTGGGCTCAGCATCAGGGCTCAGCGGTGCTAAATAACGCTTCAGCAGCTGAACAGGCACGAGGAGGAAAACCGACGTCATCCCAGCAAATCATCTTCACCCAGGAGAGGTCAGGGCATGGTATAAAGGCAGGCCAGGTGCATTTCCAGATTACAGACTACATCCTTCTCTCAGCTGTGTTATTTTCATGCCAGGGAACCAACCTCCGATGATCTTGGTGCCTTTCTCGCTGATTTATACCAGTATCAGCAACAGACCGTTCAGGCCTGCGGTGCAGGAGACCTCTGGGATAAGGTCTGCTCCACTGAGACAACGACGGTCAAATGTGAGCGCATAAATCCCCCAAATAAAGCCCCTGTGGGCCAACTGTTGTCTTCAGTTACAGCACTGCGGGCCCCTACCTATAGCTTGACAGAGCTCAGCAGACTGGCAATATTTCCCGGAGTATATTAAGATAGAAAAAGGATAAATATCAAGTCATGTTATTTTCTGCTATAAATAGGTTCAGCTCCTCTCACTTGGATCCTTGCCTGATGATGCCTGCAGAAAAGGTTGGCCCACTGGCAGGACACCAGCCCTGAGCAATTTCAGTGATGACCCAGGGAGATTTCATCAATAGGTGGAAAATATGGGAAATATTTCACCTAGTGAGCCCAATCGTTGCCTCAGGTACAGCCCAATGTATCAGCTTCAATGAAAATGCATTGGCGTAATTGGGAGTATTGGCAGACATGCTGGAGTGAATCAGACGGAGGGGAGGGAGTGTGAGAAGTCACCGGCTGTTTGCTCTGCCGGAGATTTCCACCCCCACAGCAGACCTGGTAGAAACATGTGCCCGTGCTTCATCCTTTTCCGTGCATCATCTGCTGTCTTCGCTACCTTCAGCAGCGCTGGCACCACTGCTCCCAGCTACCAGGATCCCCAATTCCAGCAGAGAGGGAGCAAACAAATACTGGGGAGATGGGTCTTAAACAGCCCCAGCTCTCTGCTGAGCAAAAGCCAAGCCTCGAAGTCGGGATGTGACACAGGTTTTTTTAGTACCAGGGGTTCTGGCAACAGCTAAGTGCCTGTTTTGTTCCAGGGCATGGTTTGGGTCTGCTGCATAACCCTCAAGTCTGCATCTTCCTTTGCCCTTACACCCTGCAGCTCAGGTACAAGGTTCATGGCACCAAAAGGCTGTTAAAGCTCGATCCCTCCTTGTACACCCAGCCACAAGCCTGCAAAATATTTCTCCTCCTGTTTCTCTTTGTCTATCTTTGTGCAAGAGGAGGGATAATGTAGACAAATAATACCGGAAAATGTATTAATTAGGTCCGAACCTTATCTGATGTTAGTGGAGGCATGCTGCTTTACATTGTCTAGCACTGTGAACCTTGGGGTTTTTTAGCTTCTTTTAAGGTAATTTAATAAGAAGAAACAAGGAGAGGCAGCAGCAAGTGACCAAAAGGTTCTCTGCTCAAGCTAACACCTGCGTTGCACAAGCAAAAGTGGCTGTTGAAGAGGCATTCACTGGCAAAGCAGAAGTAGAGAGGCAGCAGCAGTCTCCCACGCAGCTTGGATAATGACAGGGTAGCAGCCAGCATCATTGTCTTATATATTAACTAAGAAAGCAGCGACCTTCTGGATTTGCTGCACTAATTGCCATGTTGCAGGGTACAGAGTGTGCTTCTCTCCAATGCCCCACCGTTTCTCTCAACTCCCCCTTTTTGTCATCTTTACTGGCACTGTGTTTATCGGCATGTAGTGCAATATCTTATATTCCCCATTAGATTGTTTATGCATGCAAACCCCCTTTCCTCTTCAGGAATTCCTTCATCCTCACACCACAGGCTGGCAAGAGCCACCTCCTATAAAGACTCTTCTGGAACCTAATCCAGCCCCATAAAATCCCTACTGAACTCAACAAAGCTTAAATCAACAAGAGCCGTCTATTTCCTGAGGTCAAACGTTTCTTTCAGTTCTATTTTAAGCCAGTGAAAAGAAACTGGGGGAAATAAAAGCTGTTTAGATACTTTTCAGGCTGTGGCTGGTGGCTCATCGGAGCGCCCGCCTGCAAAGCTGGGCTCGGTGGGAGCCAGCAACTGTGTCTCTGAAATACCCGGCTCCTAATTTTGGTCCTATTGTCAAACATGACCAGAATATGTTCTGTTCCCCCAGCTTAACTGCATTTGGGAATGACCTGGCTCGGCATGCCCCAAGCTGGAGGACCCACGGAGTAATTAGTAAGCGAGGAGTCCATCATCTTTGATTTGTCTCTAGACCTCAGTGCAGTGACTGAGGTCTGATTCATACTGACGCCGAGTTCCTTTTATATGAGAGCAAAAGCAATCAAAAACCATGTCCGTCAGTGTTTTCTGTTCTTGGACTAAGTAATTGATTTTTAGCTCAGTTTCCCATGGTAACAAGGCTTTCTGATCACCAGCTGCACGTGTTGGCCTTAATAGCTTTTGAATCCACTGCTTCATTTCAGCCAAATGTGATGGCAAGATCAAGGTCTGAAGGATAATTAAGTTCCTACAAGTTTTCTGAAAACAGGCCGTGTGTGGCAGACCCTATTAGTGCCACGTCGGTACCTTCACTGCAAATGGAAATTTAATGACTTTGTATTGGACATCAGAGACTCCACCCAGGGAAAAGCTCTTGTAAGTACCTTATCTAGGGACAAGCTTCACCCAGGGCTTCCAACCACCCGCAGGATGCAAATCCACAGGAGACCAGGCTTTCTTCGTTCTGAGTGTTCGTAGAACAACTTGCTATTTTAAGGGAGCATAAGGGGTGTTAAATAACAAATCAGTATAAAATTAGGACTGTGTGTGAGGGTCCCTCACAAAAATCCCTGGTAAAAAATATGAGAATTTGCAAAAGTTGGTGGCTGTTGAGCATCAGGGGAGAATACCAGCAAAACAGAATATAAATCAGGAAAATATCTATGTGCAAACATTGTTCCTTTCTCTGGCCAGTCAGACTCAAACTTCTACTCAAAGCTAATTGCATTTGACTTCAGGGAGTCAAGACTGCAAGACTTCCCTGCAAACACAGGTCAAGAAGGAAGGCGGCAGGCCCCAGGGTAGCTGTGCATTAGCTCCGAGGTATATCCACACACCGCGAGCACCTGCTGAGCCGTCAGCCCTGAGCACCCTATTCCGCACACTGCGCACGTATCGGATCGGGCTGGAGCATCCCTGTATCTGCAGGCTGAGCTGCCCGCGCAGCCCGCCGTCTAGGGCCCATCAGTGAGCCCTGGCACTGGAGCTGATGGAGGCATCTCTCCTTGTGCATTAACTACCCCTACGTAACACAGACAGTGCTGTGAGCGTCGCCTGTGCCCTTGCTGGGCACTGTGGGCTCACGCTACCTCAGAACTGAGCTGGTAACTGCCCCGAGTGGCTTGAGCCTGTGTTAGAAAGCGGGAGACCCTGTCCCAATCCTCAGGGAGATGTGGACGGAGGAGGAGTGTGGTCAGGCTTACCGGCGTGGGACAGAGGTTGCTTCAGCAGCAATGTGCGGTGCCCCTCGGCTGTCCCATCGCAGGGGACGGGACTAGGGCTGCTGCTTGGGAGCACGGGAGGGACTGTTGTACGGGGGCGGTGGAAAAAAAGGGTGCTTGTGGGGGAAACATTTGGTTTAGTTCAGAAACCAGTGTGCCAGGCTGGTGCCTAAATCAGAATATTAAGGCTAAAGCTTCCCTGGGGTCAGGGTCACAGTGCTGTCACCAAGCGGATGCAGAGCCAGGCCAGCTGCATGCAGCCTCTTTACGATTTACGACCAGCTCAACGCAGGGCACCCGAGCTGGACCAGAGCATGTCATCCTTTACCAAAACACAAAGCCAGCCCCCACCTCAGACCCTTGCCTGGTCCCACCTGGGGCAATGCCTTCTCTGTTCTGGGATTTCATATATAAAATTCCCCATCTCTGCTCTCTGACTCCCTTGTTTGCTGTCTTCACAGCTCATCCCATCTGTCCCCATTTTAAAATCTCCTTCCCTCCCTCTTTTCTCACTAGGTCTTCTTCTGGTGTCGCTTCTCCCACCCACAACACAGCCTCATTTGTACCTGGTCTGACCAGGCTTGCATGCAAAGGGATTAAATCATCATTTGAACCAGCTCCAAGGGACATCACTTGGAAATGGAACCTTAAAATATTAACTAAATCAGCCACTTCGTGCTTCGGAAGTTGCTTTTCCTGCATTGCAGATGGGGGGGTGAGCGCTCGTACTGCTTACCATCACTCTTCCTCTCTGTGTGAGCTGGCAGGCAGAGGGCGTGCAACGTGCTGTTTGCTGATGAAGAATAAAAGCGTGAGGTACACCTTTTCTTCTCTGCGAGCTGGAAATCCAGGTCTTTTATGTTGTGCTTGGAACGTTTGACTCAGCAGCTGAATTTCACCCACCACCTCCAAACCTCTCTTCCACAGGGAGCACTGCCAGTAGTTGATTGGGTGAAGGCGACAGTTTTCAGCGAGGAATTGATGCAGAGGTTTTGCATTCCAGGTAGGATGCGGCACATCCCAGTAAGGGCTTCTCTCTAAGCTCCCACACAGTGGTGGCCACAGGGCCTGCCTCTTTGTGGAACCACTGGACCGTACCCATCAGATTTTGGCCTTCACAGTCTCAAGGTTGGAGCAATGCAGAGTAACTGCCATCTGGGGAGGCCAAACATGCTCTCTGCCTCAAAGACGTAGCTTAATCGTGCTTGGTGAAGGGGGAAAGATGGCTTCCAGCTGGGGCTGACAGATTTGCTATGACCCCACCCAGTAAGTGAGCATCATCACAAACTCTGCCACAGATAAGAGGCTGGGACTCAGACACAGTACATATTTTATTATTAAAAAATGCATAAAAACTAAAGACATGCTTCCCAAAGTTAGAATCTATATGTACATCTGCGCTTCCCAGGCAGCTGCAGGGAGCATAGCTTTCTGCCCTCACTGCAAATGTGCACCGCACAGGTTTTTGTTACTGTTTGTTAGGTGTTATCTTCTCACCTGCATTTACAGCATTCCAGCTAAATGAAGAGAAAACCCTGTACTGCCTGGGGTATAGGATGGAGCAGTTTGTATCTGTGACTGAGAAACTGTACTGAACTTCTGGAGACATCTGTAGGACATTGCTGTTCAGTAGGAAACTTTACAGAAAGGATCCATGCCCAAGCCCCAGACTAAAACTCCCCTTCCCTAGGAAGCGTTCTCACTAGGGGCTGAAACTGGACCTGAATTTTGTAGTTAGCCCCGAACCTTACAATAAGCAAATACTGGGCATTGAAGGGTGGAGTGTTCCGATACCAAGTCTGCAATTTCATTTGACTTATTGGTCCCACCTTTGCCAACTCAGCAAATGATGACATTTGTGGTATTCGTTTCTGAGGAAGAACAATGTGGAATCCTAAGTCTTGTGATACTGCCGAGTTTTCAGCACACTGGAAATAAAAGAAATTAAGATCTAGCAAATATTTAGGATAAGTAGAATAAGATGTAACTGCACTTCCTTGCTGGGAACCACTGCACAAAACAAATGCTGATTTACAGTAAAATATTAAATTATTAAAAACCACACAAGCGCTTGCAGTTATAGTGAGTCAGACATGCTGATTGGAAAACAAAACAAAACCCAAAGAGCAAAACCATTAATTTTGCCCTGTCTGGAAGGCTGCAGTGATACTAGTCTATGTTCTGATGTGACTTTTACAGCGTGCCAGAAGACCTCCTAAATAGGAAGGCCAGTGGTTCTCAAGCTTTTTCATCACGAGGACTCTCTCTTCAGAAAGAGATCTCCCAGTTGATCCCTTCCCCCCAACACACACACCTTCCCAAAACCGATTTCACACCTTCACTACAGCAGCTACAGCACTTGGTTATTTGAAAAAGTCATAGGACTGTTAAAGAGAAAGATTAAATGAATCCTGTTTTAAAGCAAATGCTGATTCCTGCTCCCGCTGAAACTGAAGCAAGTCTGCCATTCTGTAGCTAAGCTGCCTCTTTCCTCTCCTGGAGGGCAGCACTTAGCATTAATTAGCACTGTTTCCCCATACTGCTGTTAAGTCCTCTCTACACTGCTTCCTTTCCATCCCTTTGAAGTTGGATTCTGTCCTCACACATGCCAGCTGCTCTCCCTCCCTTCGCATTTAAATGCCAGCTGCAAGTCTGGTCAGGCCTGAATTGGCATCAAACAGAAGAAAAAGAAAGACATAAAAGAGGTATGTGGGGTGAAGAGGGATGCTGGATTTTCATTTTTTCTAATTTCATCGCTCACCAAAACATCTGAAACTCTTAAAAGGGCCTCAGACTGAGGAAGCAGCAAGTGTCACTGCATGAAATAAGCCAGATGTTCGAATTCAGTGCTGGGTAGAAGCAGATCTGCAGATCAGTTTGAGAACCACTGAGGTAGGCAACAAGTCTAGGCAGTACTGCTGAGTGAACACAAGAGGAATTTTGCCCTCTTGTCCTGAATGATAGTGTAAATACCCACTAGTGTTTTCAGAGGTACCAGTCCCGAAGTCACGCAGCCAGGATTGAAGACAACATCTACACAAGAGCAAGCACTGACTGAACAGAAGGCGTATTCAGCTCTGCTCCAGCAGTCAGTGAGAAGGAGCCCGCCTTAACTTTGAACTCCTTTCAGCGGGATGCGATCAACCTGTAACCCTATTCCCCCCCTCCCCAAATCCAAGGGGATGCTGGGGTTGTGGTCCTTCCAAGCCGTCTGCCACTGCAGCCCACACAGGTGGTGAAAGCTGAAAAAGCTGCCCAAGAGCTCTGGCCAGTGCTGTTCAAAGCCATTCCAGATCCGGCATCAGAGCCCCAGGTGACACGGCACTGCGGCTGCACATATCCCGTCCCAGGGAAGCAGAGTGTCACTGCTATGTACAGGCTAACAACTTTTCTCTCCTTCTGTCTCCAGCTCATACAGAAGGCTTTTGTCCTCCCCTTCCTGCCCATCTGGATGCCTTTCACCCTCGGCATCATCTCCAAGGCACAAGGGGCTCATGATGTACCGATAGTCACTTGTGACAGCAGCAGCCGCCCCAGCAATGGTCTCTTCACCGTCCGTGTTTCCAAAGGAGGCGTGCAGGCCAGCGTCACTCGCAGACGCCTCTTTGTCCTTCCCAATGTTGACATAGAGAGGATCTTGACTGGAAGAGAGTGTGGACATCCTCCCACGAATCATTTCCAGCTGGGACCGGAGCACTCCGAAGCTGGGGCGTAGCTTGGGCTCAGGATGCCAACATCTGCACATGAGATCATAGCTGCAATATAGAGGGAGACAAGAGCACTGAGAAGCAGACCAGCCACCCCCTGCACCTCCAAACAGGGGCTCTGCGCAGCGCAGCTTAGAAAGCATAGACACCTTCCCCAAAACCTATTGGTTTTGGCCTTGCACAGGTGACAGCACATAGGCAGCCATTATGGATCTAATTCCTTGTTTCTTCCCATTTTCAAAGGCATTCTCACTCTGGTCAAAATAATTATTTAGACAGTACCAAAAAACCCCCAAACCCTGTCAAAGGATGCTGAACTTCTTGGTTAAAACCTCGTTCCACTGTCTCTGGAGAGCTAGAATAGGACTGTGAGTGTGGCACCATTTAGCAATAGCTTTTGAATTTATTCACAAAAAGCATCCCAACAACCTCTGCCATGGCTGAAGCCATCCCTCCAAATTCTAGTTCAATAGCAGATAAAACCCAGGAAGAAAGAAAACAAGAGATCCAACTGTGGGAGGTGCAAATTATTTCCAGAATATTCTTTTTTCACACCACGTTAACTCAGTGCTGCCAGCGTAATGGAGGTGTGCTGCTGTTGCTGCCCGACAGGTTGCCAGCAGGACTGGAAAAAGGCACAGTGGGTTTGTTCAGAAGGCTGCGAAGGAATGGACAACAGCTTCACTGCTGGAAGAGGGAAGCTGAAATGGCCTTTCTACTACAAAGACACCACCCCTACGCAGAAGATGCGTTCAGTGCCATTAGCAGCCTCAGGCCCCATCCTGCAGCATCTCTCCTGCAGTCAAACGCCAGCCACCTAGCTCTGGTTGCCCAAGGGCCAGCATCAGTAGATGTTGCTGGCTCTGATGGCCTGTGCTCAGGCAAGGGGCGAGGAGCCCTGCTCTCCTGCAGCTGCCTTCGCAGCTCAGCGCCGGCGCTGGCTGGCCTCCCGCCGGAGCCCACTGGGCTGGAGCGTGGCCAGAGCCATTGTCCTCCTCCTCTTTGTGCATCACCCACAAGACTGGCAGCTGCATTCCTATGGCATTATTGTTGCCAGTTCTGCAGGGAACAGGAACAAAGCACAGTACTGGCCCTGAAAAACACCGCAGACAAATGAACCTCAGTTAAACTTGTAAATGGAAAAAATCTGATATGGCCTTTATGGGGAAATAAAGCATTTCATGATGGCTTTTATTTTACTTTTTGTGTCCCTTGCTTGCTATCAGCTTTACAAGACTGGTTTTGATCTCACACTAGTTTTACAGAAAGCTTCTATGGTTCAGTTGTCTTAATCCTGATTTACGTCCCTCACAAACAGTAGAAATAACTCTAAACGCTCCAGATAAAATAGAAACTTCCTATTCTGTGGCCCCAAATAAAATATCTTCTTTTACCGTCACTCGCAAACAGCAGAAATTCATTTGAAAGAAAGGTAGAAAACTACTGGCTGTACTGAATTAGCCCACAAGTCCATTTGCCCCAGTACCCTCCCTCTGAGAGTGGCCAGTAGCAGACGCTTGGGGAAAGCACATAAGCTGAGGGTGAGCATGTAGTGAGATTTTTCTGGTATATTTTCCCAGGTCTCAATAACCTGTAACTCAAGGGCCTCTTGAAATGGAGGTTGTGCCTTTTTAGTAGTTTTTGATGGGTTTTAGTTCAATGCCTAGCAGGTTTTTGAATCTCTTCTCTACTTTTGGTATCTATAACATCCGATGGCCATAAGCTCCACAACTTGGAACCAAAGCTACTCACAGCAGTCAAGATGCAGACATATAATGAATTTAAGCACTGGTATAACGATGTTTTCATTTAAACTCAGGAACAGTTAAAAGGAACTGCTGAGAAGATAAAAGTGTACAGCTTTAATAGCAAGAGTACAGATTATTCCCTATGTGGAAGAAAGGCTGGAGAAAGAAAACCACATGAAATAATCCACCATCAGAGCAGCAGGGAAGAGGGAGGAAAGAGGACTTCATGTTGTCCATTTTACACACAAGGAATGGCTTGAAAAGGCCACTAAAGTCAGTGCTCATAGTTAATGTTTTGCTTTGGGCACAACAGAGAAAACAGAGACTTGCTTGGGCACTCAGTGAAATGATTTAACCTTGTCCAGACTAGACAAGCTTTTACCCTGGGAGAGGTTATGGTGACGCTCCCTGGGGGACCTCAGCCCCATGTGTGGACTCCAGGAAACTCCAGCCACCACCCATGCAGCAAGGGTTCCTGAGCAAACATTTCACGTAACCTGCTGGCCAAGAATGGTCCCTTGGCTGCAGGACTAAGGCAGGACCACAGGCTGCAGCATGTGGCTGCCTGCTCCCCCGTGGGCTACCCGAGTCCTTCCTGCAAGTCTGAAAATGTCTGAAACCAGTACCTGCAAGATTGTCCCGGGTTTGTTTCCACCTGTAATTTAAGGTGGGACACTGATCTACAGAACCTTAGATCCTCCTATCTACTCTCTTCTCTTTCATCACGTTATTTCTGTGAGAGTAGTAGATCCAATTTTGAAAACTGGGCCAAGCTTTGAAAGACACATGCAGGCCACTGCCTCTGCAATCCAGTTTCCTTGTAGTCTTGCTAGATTGCTCTTCTATTCAGCCTTCAGGGTGTGCCATGAAACTCATCTCTTTTCTCAGATGCTGGCCTGAGAAGGTAGGGAGCAGTGAGTTTCTGGAAACACAGTTACAGTTGCCATAAAGCCGAGAGCTGCTAATGTTGACACTGTTCAAACCCTTGAGCCAAGTTAGCTGCTCGTGTAGCTACCACAGGTTCCAGGCAGCTCTGCCAGCAGAGAGTATCTGGTAGCTAACCCAAAGACTTTCTAGTGAATGCCTCTGTGTCCTGGAAAGTGGATAGATTCAGATCAACAACCCAGCCAGCTGCCCCTGTTTCCTTCCAGAGAGCCAAACTTCTCAAGGAATCACATGTCAGTAGGGCGAGGAAGTACTCACACATCTTCCAGGCACTCTGGCGGCTGCTTCAGCCTGTTCCCGCTGATGAGGTAGTTGTAGATTTCTGCATTCTCAATACCGGCATAAGGGGTTTGCCCTCGGGTCACAATCTCCCACATGGTCACTCCAAACGCCCACTGAAAGGGAACAGCACACAGAACAAGTGAACAGACACTTCCCTGCTCACTGGGGTGGGGTTTCAGCATGCTCAGACTGTGCTGACCCTTCCAGTTTGGGGTAATGTCATGTGAGCAGCAGTGATGCAAGGACTATCCAAACTCTAGCTAGAAAACAAAGAAATGATCCATCAGATGCTGCTGATGCTGACACATCATCTTGGGAGACACCTGAAGGCCTTGCCTGGCCCCATCCTGCAGTGGAGCAGGGGAAGATTGGGAGCTACTGCTGTCTTCCACCTGCAGACCTCTCCCAAGCATCTCCTACTCATGGTTCTTTAAGGTATATGGTATCAGTTTTGTGGTTCCCAGCTATAAGAAGATTTTGATTTGGGGCTCACAAATCAGTTTCTTAATTCATTGAGCCAGATTCTGAGGTACTGGAAATGTACAGGCACAAATGAAAGCAGAGTTTAGCCAATAAGCAGGGCGAGGAACAAACCACTCATGGCTCATATTCATTTGTGCTCTACACTACAACAGTCATACTTGTACATTTAAACTAAACTGCAAGGTTTGTTAGGTGCAAAAAATTACTATTTTCATAAGCCAAACCCTGTCCAGTGTCTATTGTACACTGGCTGAAGTAGCGATCACCAATCACTAAACACTGCCTATAGTGGTTACAGCAATCACTGGGCAACACAGCAGCTAAGTTACAAGGCACTCTTGGTGATCTCTTCAGGGACACTGTGACATGGAAAACTGCAAAGGCAAGTCCACAGGCCTGAAGGAGAAAACTAATGTGAAACCAGATCAAAAGGCAGCAAGGAAGAGGGCAGAATGTATCAGAACTAAAAAAAAAAAAAACAAAGGGAAAGGAAGCAAAAATTTCAAATGAATGGGTTTAGCCTCACTCCCCAGGGGCAAAGTTATGGGCTGGAGTGTCTAAGCACTGATATATTCAGAATCTATGAAGTTCCACCAATGCCTTCTGTAGGACAGAGTACCTTTGCTGCACTTGTACATGAGTGTGGGGGTTATATGCATTTCAAATGCCACCTTCAAACTGTCATGCAGAAGAGAAAGGAAAAAGAATAAGAGTAAGAAAGGAGAGACTGCATAAAGAGAGAGGAATAGGAAGAGGAGAAGGGGAAAGGTAAAGGAGAGGATGGGGATAAGCACTGAAAAATGAGGACCAAAGGACAACAGGAAAAGGGTTCATGTCTTCTGCCATAATCCACTTGCGCATACTTTCAGTCTTGAGTTCTGACAGCACCCAAAGCAGAGGTAGCACTGTCCCTCAAACACAAGGCAGACTCCCTTTCCCATCACCAGGGTCTTTTCCCAGCCTCAGTGAATACAGGATTCTTCCACTTCAGTGGGAATACAAGTGGTCTCCAAATGCACTACAGCAAAACTCACCACATCACTGTGTGTTGTGTACAGATTATCTGCCAGACTTTCCAGAGCAAGCCACTTCACTGGCAGCTTGGAGGCACAGCCCTGACGGTAGTAGTCTCCACTGTAGATTTTCTTAGAAAGCCCAAAGTCTGCAACACTCACGTTCATGTTCTCATCCAACCTAAGGGAAAGTTTTCATGACCGAGGAAAGCATTTATTGGCTACCTCAGGCAAAAAAAAAAGTTACGTCCAGGGCACTGAGGTATAGAGTTCACCAAGTATTACCCAGAAGGATAATGACTTCATCTACTTGATGACCAATGTGAAATAGTTTAGTGGCTTCAGATCAGTTCCTTGAGACTAATAGGGAGAGAATTAGGACCAAGGAAGTAAGGAAATGGCTATGCTCAGATGGTCTACTTGGTTATGCAAAGTGAACTCAGATACTTTCTGTAGTTTCCAAGATTATCATCAGAGGACACCTGAAGTGCTCGCTACTACCTCCAAGGCCTGCACCCTGTATAGGCCATCAAAAAAAATAGGGTGCTTGCCTAGACTGCCTATTACAGCTCCTCAAACTAGATCTGCAACATCTTCTCTCCAGGCCTGGTTAATGGTCTGAATTGCTCTGTCACCCACTTAAACATAGACATGTCAGTAAATAGTGCACGTAAGGCCCACAAAGACTTCATGCTCCCAGGCCTCATAAATGACTCCTGGCTTTCCCCAGAAGATGTGCTGCAATAGGCATTCAGCTTCCTCTGGAGGAAGTCTGTGTTTTTTAGATGTTTAAAAATAGGAAATCAGTATGGGTTTCTCATAAATGTCAAAGCAGGCTCACCCATCATTTTTCATTATGACTATCAGGCTCCTGTCTGTACATCTGGACATTCAAATGCCTTTGGAAATCTGCATCTCATTGCAGATTTTACCAGTTGTTGTGGTTTTGTTCAGAGGCAGAGTTCTGTCTGCCAGAATGAGTTGTTCCTTACTCTGTTCTCAGGGAAGAAGCAGAGTGGAAAAGATAAAAAAGGACTTTTCTTCCCTTCAAAGCAGGCAAGGTAGTTTGGGGACAAGAACAACAATGTGGGATCAAACAGTGTGTTCACCATGCAATTATTTCTAAAGGCATTCTCCACAAGCTTTGAGGGAAATTCTCCACTTCTTATATTGTGATAATCAAGTCCTCAAAATAGATACAAGAAATACAGACTTCAGGCTACAATGAAAGTTCCTTTCTCCTAACACAGCCAAAACCATTCTCTCCTGTTGGTTACATTATATTGCGGAACAAGTAGCCCATGCTGATGCACAGCCATTAAAGTGGCTAATTAGAGACACATATTGTAATCAACTCTATGAAGCTAGATGTGCAGACCAATGATGGAAAAGTTCCATATAAATAGGGTCTATTTGGAAGCTCAGTGTTAGGAGTTGCTCCCAGCACCACCACACACCCCCAGCCCTGCAACCATGGCTCCCCTATGCCTATTGTCACTTAAATGCAAAGACCAGCATCCTCGGGCAGGACGCCCCCCTATTTCTGTCACACGAAAGGCTTTTCATCCCTCTCTCACCCACTCTGGTCTTTCTGTTCTCTAAAAACTCATGGGTCACTTACATGCAGTTCCGAGCTGCAAGGTCCCTGTGTATGAAATTTTTTGAGCTCAAGTACTCCATCCCACTGGCAATGTCAATCATGAACTTGAGGAGTGTCTGAACAGGCAAATTCTGAAAAAAATAACAGTTTATGTTTTGTTCCTGGAAACTTTCAAGCACATATGGCATAATTGTGAGATCTGCTGCTAGCTTACTGAGCAGGGATGGGGGATATAGGGAGGGGATGGAATGCAGGAGTTGGTCCTCAACATGCACGGAATGAAATATTTCAACATCACATCTCACAATTTTCTCTGGTATTAAAATCCAGTCATCTACCAATGCCTTTGGGAGAACAACCCTGAACCGATACAAGTACATTCTCTGAAAATCTATACACTCCCAGAAGGAATTCTACAGTAAGACAGACTTACAAAAGGGTTTTCCCCAATTCGTGACATCAGCAGAAAAGCATGAAGGTCTCCATGCTTCATGAAGGGCAGGATCACCATGGGAATTGGGAGACGGCCCTTCGGACGGCTCCGTAGACTGACTCCTAATAAGAACACACATAGCAAAAGGGTTTTAGCAAACAGATCAGTCCCAAGGGGAATCTTACAGGCCACTGTGCCTTTCCCTTACAAATCTGGAGGAAAATGTGCAGTTTTGGTGGGTAGGTTCCATGCTCCAAGCCACTTTGCATGGCTTCAGGCCAGGAGGTGTTGAGATACCTCTAAAGCTGTTTACTTTAGGCCTACTGCCTCTCAGCTCTCCTTGCAGGACCGGCTATAAATATTTCTAGGATCACTCCAGACCAGACAGCCCTGAAGTCCAGGCTCTGCAGAGCAATCTCCACATTCTGGAAATTGCCTGTGTTCCATAGTGTCCACCCACAAGTGTCTTGCTTCTTACTCAGTATTTTGGAAAGTCACAATCTCCCCTCCCTCTATTCATCTACCAACCCACCTGTTCACATTTCACAGCAGTTTAGACATATCTCAGCCAGGCAAACTCTCCCTGTAGGATTTGCAAGAACCAAAGAAATGGCTTAAATAAGAGATGCTTATTAATGGTGTATGAAGGCAAGTGTTGTGAGCACTTACACACACTCCAACTCCCTCTAGGCCTGGGAAGGACCAAGGCTGATATATGCAGGACTCCAGGCAGCACAGAGCACTAGCGCTGCTGTTGGACAGCAGTGGGGGTGAGTATGTGAGGCTGTGTGGGATTGTGCAGGAAAGGGACGTGCTCTGTGGCACAAGCAGCAGCGCTGGCTTACCAATCAGTTTAGTGACATGTGGGTGGTCAAACTCCTTCATACAAGCAGCCTCTCGCAGGAACTCCTCAATGTCAGTTGAGGTAAAGATATCCGCTGGAAAAAAAGTGACTGTAAGTTTTCTTCCTTTGTGGGTAGCTCCAAGGGACTTTACAGATAATCAGACACTTGTTCTTTGTGGCACAGCACATCCTCTCAGACCTACAGCTAGATGAGCCAGTTTACAACAAAGCAGAGCCTGACACCTTCTCCCAGGATGGGCGGCAGTAAGCACACATCAGGGACATCTACTAAATTGGTTCTTGGCAGAGTATAGACCTGCTGATTAGCAGCTCTTTTCTCAGTAACAACTTTCCTTGGAAGCCATGCAAATCATGTGTGGGTAAAAGACGGAAGAATTAATTAGCTAAAAGGACCTAGTACAATGTCAGGAGAGGAGATGTCACATACAATTAAAGAAAATGTTGAAACTGAGGAGATGGCCTGGAGCCCCCATCTGGCACAGCAGACCCCAATTCATCTCTGATAAGGAAGGCATGAAAGATCAACATTTTTATGTCTCTTAGCATGACTGAGTCTTCTTAGGTGCTAGAGCTAAGATTTCTTAAATAACCACACTACTGGAGAGCTTGGACCAAATTCAACAGTGACATGCATCAACAAAAATTTGGAGTAAATTACTTCTCATTGCTATTACTCCAGATTTATGGAAGTATATCAGTATAATCAAGAATTAGCCCAGTGGACTACTTCTTCCACTGCTGCTGCTGAATTTAGCAGGAGTCCTCCAGTCCTGCTGCAAGATCACTCAGACCTGTAGGGGAGTATTCACGTTATCTGCTTTAGGCAAGTAATTTAAGTATGATTCAGAAGACAAAAGTAGATTCCCGTTTAACAGTCGATGGAGAAAGGAAGGTGCCTCAGGAGGGTGACAAGAGAGTTTCCAAGTTACATGCCTGAAGCTAGATAGTCTGACTACACAAAAACTTTCAAACTGATTATTGTTGAAACTGGATAAAATGATGCAACTTACACTAATGTGGTACTAGTATATTTAGTACAAACTGGTATTCTGTGGCAGCCAAACTCAGCTTGAGATAAGTGTGACTCCTTACAGGCAACAGGGGTGAAATAAAATAGGTTAACATATATATACATAAATATATGCACATACTTGCTTTGACTGACACCTATCTATCAATTGCTTTTCCTTTTACAGACTTCAGCCTGACGAACGTGTTAGTTGCCCTTGTTATGTACACTCATCAAATGACAAATCAGAAGGGAGTTTGACTACTTAGTCAAATATGCTTGACTGACATGAGTTAGCTCGTTGCTGCATTCAGCCCAAACACTCTTCTGGCTGTCTATGCCACCTGATGTAGTGCTGTGTTGAATCAAGCAACTGAATGAGATCCTCTATACACAGAAGAGGCTGTAGCTATGACTTGGTTTTGGTTGCACTCACCACATGCTAGGTGCTGTACAAGCAACTAAGGTGGTATAGGTCCTTCCCTCAAGAGCTTCCACTACAAGACTGACATAAAAGGAGTGGGAGACAACATGGGTAGAGTGGCTGAGTGGGAAGCTCAGAGAGGAGTAAAGAGCATCGGGGGATGTTTGCTGGATAACAGAACAGATACCATTTAATCTTTCCAAGCTCTCTTAAGTACTTCAGGTAGCCCTACTCTCACTTACCTTTCAGCATCTTCACTGCCACTTTCTGGAAAGAGCCATCATCTAGCTTCAGTAATGCCTCTCGAACTGACCCAAACTCCCCTGTGAAATGACCAGAACAGGCAGTGAGGGAACAGCTTCTTGTGAAGAAAGTATGATTCACAACAGGTTCACTCCAAGGGTCACTGGCAAAGAAGCTGAATAACCATAAGAAATACAGCTACCAGCTTCATTTTCATTCTGCAGTTCCAGCTAGCAGCTTTCAGCATATGTGTGTCTAGAAGAGGTAGCACTGCCAGTAGACAGAGGCCACTGTGCTGGCAGCCCAGAAGGCAAAGGAAAACAAAGGAAAACAAAGCAATTCTCCACCAGATGCATGATGCAGAGTCAGAGTATAAGCTGGGATCCCAGGCAGACATTTCTGGGGAAGCCATATCATGAAGAATGAGTCTGAGTGAGGCTCTGGTCAGAGAAGGGGCTATTAGCTGGAGCAGTGAGTGGATGAGTTGGCTGAGGAAGCTCTCAGTGCTGACAGCCGTCAGAGCTGAGCAATGGTGCCAGGACTCAACCATTTGAGACACAGTCACGCCTTACCTCTCAAAACTCAGGGAATTACTTCTATGAATCACAGCTAACCAGACAAAACATAGAACGCCTACTTGTGTGTGCATGTTATGCTAATTCACAGGAGGAAGTGTTTACCCTGGTGTGTTCTCTAAGGGACATAAGAAGAAAGGCAACTGGCCAAACCCTCTTCAAATTATTTTAGCCTGGAGTGGCTTTATACCACACCATAATAGCCTCTTTGCATTAGATCTGGCCCTAGATTTGCTCTCCCTGATTTTGTAACAGCTTACCCCACCCAAAATGGATTAGTATGAGGAACTCTGGTACTGAAAAGAAGGAAACAAAATACGGCACTTGGGACACCTACCCCAAAAACATTATCTTTCCACTAGCTTTTCACCAGTGTCCTTCACTACTTACTGTATGGCACATGCTTATTTCACAATAACCACGAGCAGTGGATCTGACCACAAAAGAGGAAAATGGGAAGGAGCAAAGGCATTTTGTACTGCTTCCATATCATGGAGCTGTTGCTCAGCTGTAGAGTCAGCAGAGCCCAAGATAATGCAGACACACTGTCTTACAGTCTGTATGCTGAGCATGGGGTTGTGGGAATGGGGCTGACAACACACACCAGATCCTGCCAGCTACTATCCTCCTACCAAGGCCCCACTGCAGCCAATTTCCACTTTGTTATCTCTCATGGGGACAGCCCAGAAGGGTTGAAGCAGGATCCCAGAAACTGGCCAAGAGCTGACACTCACAAACAGATGACACATGTGTTTAATTACTTAGCATCGTTAAGCCTTCTGAGACCACTTCTGCAGGAATGTCATCTTCCTGCTCTGAAAGAAACACATTTGTTCTAGGAGGGATGGAGCAGAAGGAAGCTCCCAGTGGGAAAGGGACAAAGAAAACTGCAATAGAACTAGTCTTACAGAGAAAAAGGAAGCCAAACCCTTCAGCTTCCTTTTGCTTATGATCCCTGACTTACGCTTCTCTCTTAGTTATTGGCTCTATCATTACACGTTTTCACTTATTTCTAGAGAATGCCTTCAGCCTGAGAAGTAGGGAAGGATGATTCAGTTAGCACGTTGGCCTGCCATTTGGGAAATCTAAATTCAAAACTATCTTTTCACACAGAGTTTCTGGGCCAATTTTTTAGCTAAAGTTAAGTGAAAAGCATCCTACCTTTACTCTGCCCATCCCTCCTGACCTGAAAACCTCAGAGAAATGTTAGGAGCACCTGTGTGGGAGATCCACAGTCAGAAGAGCTCCTAAGGACCTGAACTAGTGAGGACAAATGTGAGCAAAATTCAATATCTGTTCCAAATGGGTCTCTATAAGAGCCCAAACTAAAATCTGGACTCAAACCACCCCAGACATTGAGAATATCTGAAACTGAATCAACATTTTTTTTGAGGGGTTGGAGTGTTTGAGGTAGATCACCTCTGTCTCTGTATTGTCTCAGTCCATTTAATACTTGATGCATGCTTATGTAAATGGAAGGAATTCTATAGCACCACTTTGTTAGTAGAAAGAGCAGAAGTTTAATTGAATATTCCTTTGTTTAAATCTCTGAAAGAAATTCACACGCCAGTGAATCAACAGCACGTTGGAAAGCTGAGCATAGACTGCAGTTCATGAGTCTGTAGAGCCATATTATAGGAATGGCTTAGCCAATATCCTCTTAGTTATGCTAAACCTTTGAAACGTTTTACCCCAGTGGAAGAGAAAGTTCCATTTAAATTGCCATCTACAAGCAGAAGGAGAGAAAACAGGCTGCTTATAATTGCTTCTCCCTACTCAATAGTAAAGGTAACACAAGTGGGACTTAAAATGTAAAGCCTTGTTCAGTTTTGGTTCTTACCCTTGCCCAACATTCTTCCCAAGGTGAACTGCTGTTCCTGTATTAAGACATCTTTGAGTTTTGTCTTCAGCTCGTCACTGATCCCTACACTCTCCACTGGAAAAAACACAAAGAAAGAGTCAAATAAGGGATGCTTAAATATTCTGTCACAACATCAAGAGTCACCTGTTCTAATCTCTATCTCCCATCCGATTCCCATACTGTAAGCAGAAAAAACTGAAAAAAACAGAGTTCCCTTCCATGTCCTCTAGCCTCACCACAGACAAGAGGCTAGTAACTTTCAACCACAAGAAAATGTACCAACAGTACTGAAAGGGAGAGGGTGCGATAACACCACCCTTAAACACACCAAGAGCAACAGGAATACAGAAATATTGTAAATAATGCTGAGAAGACAAAATCCAATCAGAAGGGACACTGATAGACATTGGTTCATACAGCTTCATTTAAGTTGATGGAGCTGCACTCATTTTCAGTGACTGGCTCTCAGACTATTTTAAGCACAGTACAAGTCTCACAGTACCTGGCTGAGAGGGTAACATAATGTCCAACAGTTTATGGTCACTAGATTTAATGGAGAGACCGCTAAACCCAGGCCAGCAAAGTCAAAGACAGCTGGAGCATCATCCTAACCCAGCCATGCAGTGCTGCTACAGAGAGCCATGCCCTTGCTGAACCAGGAGACAGAAATGGATCATCTTAACTCTGGCCGTTCCTGGGACTCAATCTCCTGTTTGAGAAGTTACTAATTCCTGGCCTTCCAAGACTGATTAATTGGCTCATACTTGTAGCACAGCTCAGCACACTGAGTTTAAAGCATACTGCTAATATTGTGAAGCCATATTTATCTCACTTTTGCATAATATTACAGTCAAAGGAGTCCCTGTAGTGTGAAAGTGGGGCAGGGGAGTGGCGAATTTATGCCTTGCACTAATATACACAATGATTGTAGCTGTAATTAACAAGCATTATGTAATTGGTATGGGAACAGCAATTCTGGCCTTTCACCTCTGCCATCCACAGTGTCTAAGCCTCCTTGTAAATTAATCCCATGTTCTCCATGCAAAAACATCCATTTCAGGGAAAACAAAGGGAGAGCATAGTACATGCATGAACACAGCTTTTCAGGCAGAATCATTCAGGTCATTTTACTTACAAGTTGCTTCAATGAGCTCGGGGCCCTCCCTGTTGAAAGACCTGGCAGCTCTGAAATGGACTGCTGGATCCCCTCTGCCAACCACACTGCCAAAGGCATGGCTAGAAGGCAGAAAAGACACACAGGGCCATGATTACATGGGCCATTCACTTCTAAAAGGGTGTGTTGAACAGCATGGATGATTTCTCACGCCTTGCTGTACAAATACTACAGACTGTTTTGTTAAAGAGGGTGTAGCTGGAGAGGAGGAACAATGGGTTTATGCTGCCTTGCACCTAGAGGGGATGGGAGCGAAAGAGGGGAGTCACTGGGAGAAGTTGCAGGTTGGGGCAGGTTGTAAGAGTCACATAAACAGAGATGCTGCTGTGAGAGGGAAGTCTGGGAGACTCTGAAAAGAATAAGAAGCTTGCTTGCAGCGGGGAGCAACCCACAGCCAAGTGTCAGAGGTGATGGAAAGGAGACCTTCCTTGGAATCCAGAGGGTTCTGGGCAGTCAGGAAGTTACAAGCAGCTGCTAGACTGAAAGCCAGCATGGGATAAAGGGCTCAGCCCATAAGAACACAGAAGATGATTCATCTGTGGGTCTTTTCTCTTTGAATCTTTTAAGCAGCAGTGCTAAGGACTTAGAGTTTATATTTCCATATTCTAATAAAGCCCAGATATTGACATAACATTTTTTCTCCTCCATTTTTGGTGTTATAATTTTGAAGAAAAGCTAGGGTACTTTCCTGCTAGTCTCTAATCCAGGGTTGCCCCCAAAACTGTGAAAAAAACAGTTATCCAGATAAAGTGCCAAAAGTACTCAATTCAAAATGCTTTTTGAAAAAGAAGAGTCAGAAACCACACTAGAGGAGAAAGCAAAGATCTTTCTCACCAGCACAAAGAGAACCTCCCTTACCCAAACCGAGTTTCCTTTCTTCTTTTTCGAAGGAGAATAAGAGCCAAGGCAACAGCCGTGACCAGAGCTGTGAGAATGCCTAATGCCACAGGAACCCAAGACGTCCCATAAGGAGGTTGTCTCTGGCCACCTAGATGATGGAGAAAACACCAGTCAGGAAACAGAAGACCATCAATGGTAAACAGAGCATACTGAGATATTTCTTCTTTTTGCTTTTAAATGGAAAAGCCATGCTGCTGGATCTGGTGTACACAGTGGATCATTGTAGACTGGAATTTGGCACAAACAGCTACTCAGTCAAGCATCAGAAAAGCTGGCTGTTTCACACAGCAAAGGCAGTGCAGATGCATCCAGTTATCAGAACCTATTCTTAGTTTTGAGCCTCAAGAAAGTAAAAGGTGCTGCTTCAGATTATACTACTTTACATGAGCTCACGATCCGGGGTGCTTTAAACTGGAGTCTCAGGACAAAAAGTTTGCTTCATACAAGCATTTCTGGGCAGGTTTCACCTTGTCCTGTTTGAGGCAGCCAGCAGAACCTTGACCAGGCTACACAGTACTGCCTGAATGCCGACCAGATAACATTTTGAAAAACAACAGAGAAAGACAATTGCCTTATTGCAATCTGGTTGAAAATATTTGCATTTCCCCTCTCACCCCTCCCACAAAGAGAAGCACCCTGTGGGACGTGGTGTTGGTGGTAACTTCCCAATGTTGTTGGTTGGTTGTAACTTCTCAATGTCTCTCTACCAAAGAAAAGGTGAATTTTAAGAAGTGCCCTGTGACTCAAGAACTAAGTTAGCCAGCATGCAGGTTCCAATTCTGGTCTAATATTTGCTCCCAGAATATGTATACTTTTGACTACAAACTGTCTACAGAAGAAATGGAGATGCTGCCAATCTGAATAAGCTGCCAGGGGAGGAAGATAAGCAATATGGTTATGAATAAAAGAGTATTATCTATGCTTGGCAACCAACTGATAAATTAATCCAATTCCCTGAGAGATTTCTTCTCCAAATACAATTACTAAAGTTTAAATGTGAATTTGAATGGGTTTATTAAAATCTAGGATAGCCCTCATATCACCAAATTGTTTAAAAGCAAACAAGAACAGGTAACATCCCTATGCACCTCCTGCATCTTGATGCTCCCTTGCTCACCTTCAGCAGTTGGCTGTGCTTTACCAGAAGCTAAGGAAGAATCATCTGTTGACGATTTAAGTAATCCTATTGTGTTATATGTCATAAGAGTATAAGTAAACCTGTCCTTAAAAGAGATTTTAGGTTAATGGGCTGAGATTTGGATGAACCTCTGCACAGACGTATGTGAAAAGGAGTCAGACATCCTTACTGGCAGAGTTCTGGCAGACAAAAGGCTTCTAAGGCTTGATTACTAGTTACATTGTCAAGCCTAATCCAAGTTTTTAAAGAAGCAATATTAGTCTAATAAACAGGTAGAGTTTAAGGAAACAGAATTCTGGACCACTGAGGAAGCAGACTAGTACTTCTCCACTTAAAACAAATTATCAGAGCATTAGCAGCTATTTTCCAGCATCTTATCTCCTTCAGCGATTCACATATTCTTTTCCCACCCAGAAGGCTTTATAGGCTCTGGGTTGTACGATGCTCCCTCTTGCTGCACCTTTTGACCCAGCCTTCAACACTGTTTATGAGGGAGAGGGATCAGAAACAGAAGTGGAATGAAAAGACAAGAAAAGGTAACTCCAACCATCTGCACAATGCCCAAGCCAATCATTTGGGCTGTTCCTGTCAAACAATCAGGGTAGAAACAATTAACAGCACTGATGTAAAAGGTCCTCTCTGATAGTTAATGATAAGGTTTCCTTCCCCCTGTGGTGAGACAAACCTCTCTCTGCCTGTTTTTCTAGTCTCTCACTGCTAGCTGGCCTGGTGAGAAAGCAGGGATTTAGGTCTGGGCGGGGTCCCTCCAAGAGAAGGATGGATGTAAACAAAAAAAACCCACCCTAAATTAGTCTCCCTGTTTCTAAACCACTATGAATCAGGAGGCCACCCAACAATTTATAGCAAATGTGTCAGAAATAGAAAAGAATGTTGAAATTCACTGCTGCTTTTCTGCTGCCCCACAGATCATTGCTTCCCACTCCTGCCACTGAGCTATAGAGGATGGCTGCAGCCCAAGCAAAGACTGAGTTGCCTCTCCTCCCCCAACTCTGTCTCGCTCTCACCTCCTGCAGCCCCTTTTCCAGCCGGCATATGCCTTAAGACTGCACAAAGCAGAGAGAAGACAGTATTATTAGATGAGCTTAAATGAGTATTTAGAAGTCTTTTGACAATGAAAGAACCCCTTTTATTTCTGTAGCAGGTTTTATATTACAAAGGTGTGCAAAGAATGTAATCCAAGAGTCTTTTCCTGCATAAAATCATAAAGATTACAGATAGGAAAAAGCTATTAGACAATTCTGTTCCTCTCTCTGCAATGAAAGAGAGAGGTTTCTACTGAGAGTGTTTCTGAAAATATTAAAACAATCTTTGTTAATAGTGCACAAGACCTCTGCATAAGCAGAGTGGAGCTCCCACTAGCTTTGCTGTGATGACAAATACGACTTAAAGTTTATACAAGCTTAGTCATCCTTACTGCCGCACTGGGAGCTGGTCAGAAACCACCCCTGGCATTTCTCACATAAAGCAACCAGTGCCAGTTTGCTATTTTAGGAAAGGAAGTGACTTATATTTTCTATCAGGCCTCAACAAAACTGCAGCCTTTCTGCAGCTCTGCTGTTTAAGGCCTGTCAGTGTTTTCACAGTGAACCTTTATTTCCAGCCTGTTATGCTTGTGAAGAAATACATGCGCTTTCAGTCAGCATTTGGCCAAAACAAGCACCATTCCTGATGCTACTTATTTTGAAGTGGTTTGTAAATAAAAACAAACAAACATATTATGCGTTCAGGATTATCCCATTTCAGGTTCCTGTAAAATGCAAACCCTATACGTTCCCTGGGGCTTCTTGCCAGTGCTGGCCATTTTCCAAAGGGATCTTCTAGTCCTTTCAGGTACTTTTCTCTGTATTTGGGTGCCACAGAAAATACCCGAGCAAAAAGCAGGAGAAAAAACATGGATGGAGCTGACGCCCAACCTCTAGTAGAGTCAGCTCTGGACCTCCGCACTCCTTCATTCTGCTTTAAATAATTTGAGGGCTTTGATCCCACAGTGACTGTGTGCTCACACATAACCATCAGTACTGACTTCATCACGGGCACCAGGTTGCCAAAGAGCCTTTCTGAGTAACGTGCGCATTAAAGGCAGCATTAGATGCACTACTGCAAGAAAGGCTACAGTTCTCTCCTGGCTACTCTGCCCCTATCCCCCACCTCCTGCTTGTCTTGGAACCCCACTCTGGGTTCACCCTGCCATGCCTAAGTGTGGAGGGATCAGGAGGGATCAATGTCCATGTGATTCCTCAAAAGACATGTGGGAAGAAAAAGCAGCAGGTGGGTCAGCATCAGCAATTAGACATTGCTGTCTCGTCCTGCCACAGGCACTGAGAACAAAACCTGAGGAGACTGTGGGATTTTTGCATGATCGCACCTCACTGACTTCTTATCATCAATCTGTATTTTTATTCAGAACATCTTCCTCTTAGTTGTTTCATAGTTTCCTTCACAAGCAACATTCTTCTCTCCCATCTCCCCATATACCATCTTGCCCTTCTCCACAGCCTGACTCCCATTTCCTATTCACTGTGAAATACAAGCAGCATGCAAACCAGCACAGATGAGCCTAACTGCCCTTTATCACTAGGAATGCACTCCACACATGCATGTTGTTTGCTCCCAACACAAACCCTTCCACGTGGTCCAGATTGCATGGTACAGCTTCTATACCATCATCTCCCTCTTCTACCAGTAGCTCAGCTTTTCCATGGAGAGAGGTAAACTGGTTTAATATAAACACATTCAGTAAAACCATCACAAAACCCCCTGTGGCCATGGTTTCAATCAGGCTCAACAGAAACTAGTCAGGAATGGCTTCAAATTAAATCAAAGAAGAGCACCTATGTTAGAGAAGTTTTATGTCACATTTACTCTTGTAAATTTACACGAGTAAATGTGCGTGGCTTAAGCCTGAATGAAGGATTTCAAACCTTTATTTGCACCTTTTCTATTATGCCTCCCCTTGTCCTGCTCTGCACTAAGCACAGCAAAAGCCTGTTAAAGAAGACACGGTAGTGGCCAGAAGCTGTTTTGTTTCTATCAACTCTTTAAATATTATTTAATTTCTACTCTGCTTGATGAAGTGTGCTGTTGCATAAAGCCACGTGGCTCAGTCAGCTGTAAGCACTGTAAGGAGAAGAGTCAGAGAAAAACAGCAGTCCCAGAACTTCTGACTTTTTTCGCCAAAGTGAAGGGAAGGCAGTGGACACTCACCCATGACCTCTTGGGCCTCAAGCAGGAAGAGGTCACTCCAGGGCCCGCATCCTGCCGAGTTCAGCACACACACCCTGATGATCAGGTCTTTGAGAGGATTCCACGTTGTGAGATTAGCTTTTGTATCCTGTACGATCATCTCCCCCTGAGAGCAAATGGCAACAAACTGTAAGCTGTCTTAAAAGGAATCTAGTCTAAAACTTCACCTTTAAAACTAAACCAAAACATTACTGTGTACTTCGCTGGTGCTATAACAGGCATTGGGAGTTGTGACTCCTGTGTCCTAGTCTCAATTTTGTCACTAACTTGGGCTGTCATCTTAGGTTTCTCTTCTCAAAAATTGCTAAGAGTTTCGCAGGGCATAGGGAAGATATGAGGTTTAATGATTTCCTCCTTTGAGGTCCTTCCAGGAAAGTTGCTATAGAAATGGTTTTTTCCTGCTATTAAAAGATACACCTCCTTCTTGTGGTTTAAACACAAAGATGCACTAACATACTACACAGCATCTCACAGTTTTAATCCAAGGCAGGAGTCTGTTTGTTTTAACTTGTTGACCAAATCCCAAATGGCTGATGAATTTCATGGCCAATTTTCACTTAGGATGGCAAGGCCAACATATTTTCAGCAATTTTGTGGGTCTTCATACACTTCATTTGCAGTAAACCCATGAAGATTTGTCTGCCACCAATGACACAATGTAAATTCAATGGAAACTCAAAATATCGTCATTCAAAGTCAATGATGCTGACCTAGTATGAAGTGGGTCATGCAAAAAAGGAAACAAGTCTCTTTTCCCCCAGCTGTCTATTATTACAGGCTTGTTCATCATTAATAAGCACTGGCTAAATACATATTAAGAAGTAAGAAACCATAAGAAATGCTGTGAACTTCAAAGGCAGATAGATACCTGGGAAAGGTCAATGCTGAAGAACAAATGAAAGGCCTTCTACCCTGACAGGGTCATTTCAACTCCCTACATAGTGTAAATGAAATAAAAGAATCCACAAACTTCTTTCTGTGATTTACAGTATAACTCATTCACTTGTTAAATACACCTCTGCTGCTAGTATTTGGAAAGCCAAGTCCCTGTCACAGAAGAGAGAAAGCCCAGATCCTGCACTGTCTGAGCTGTCTTTGGGACAGCAGTAGAAAGAAGCAGAGACTAACTGAACTCTCTCTCTGTTGTCTTCGTTGTACAAGGAACGGCAGAGAACTGGTCTGTCTGCAGATGAACGTTCAAGTGTAGGAATTCTGGATATGCCAGGAAGGGAGAAAAGGGTCTCAATCTTGAGGCCAAATACTGAGGAGTTTTTACAGATCAGAATAGATCCATTTACACAAAAGCAATGTCAGCAATCTAGTCCCCTAGTATGGATAAGGGATGAGGGACCTTAATGCCTAGAAAATTTAATATGAACATTCTCCAACTCTGTGCCCAATGGCTCAGCTCCCCTCTTGATCTGTTACCTGAGTTACATTATCCTGAATCCACTCCAGCCTGTATCCCAGGACATTTTCTTTCAGCACATCTGGAGCCACACCTTCCCACTCCAAAATCAGACCAGGATCTCTTTGGATAACATGGATATTTTGTGGGGTGCTGCTTGGAGCTGAAAGCAGAGGACAGAACACAATCACCCTAGGCAGGAAAATAAGGCACTATCCACACTGAAAATGGCTGAAAAGACAGTTTCACCCTCTTTCCTGAGATCAGCTGGAAGAGAAAGTGTGAGTGGAGAGAACAATTTCTGCAAGCCACCAGCACTACGTTTGCTTCAAGTGGAGAAGATAAGGTTGGTCAGCATCTCTTGTTTCCTTCTGAGACCCCAAGAATCTCAGAGAGTGAATGGGACATATGCCCAGCATACAGAAGCCCCATGGCTGGATCAACTTGTGTATCATGCATCATTGCTGTCAACCACATTTGACGGCATATTATTATTTTACATTAGGCGTTAGGAGACCCTTAGAGTGGACAAGCAATCTGACAGTGTAACATTTCCTGTGTTTCAGAATTAGCAGGAGGAGTTCGATGAAGTTTATCATCACCTCTTTTTCAGATTCAGAACTGCTTTCCTGTTCTTGTCTATTATTTGCTTACCAAGCTCCAAGGTCTGGAAATAAACCCTGTCGGTGAAAGGGGAGCTGCCCATCTCATTGCTGCACTGCACACGAACGCTGTAGTTGGTGGAATGCTTCAGGCCTTGCATACCGTAGGCAAAGGGTGGCACCGGGGTGACTTCAGTGGAGACCTCCTGGCCGCCTGGTGACTCAGCTACCTGTGCCAAGAGTGAAATGGAGAAGACTGTTACTGTAAGCCATATGACTAACGGGTCCATAGGGATAAGAATCCATTTCATGGTTAGTTTAGGAATGTGTAAGAATAGATATGGTACCAGTGGCGTTTAAAATACTGAAAAGGGAGTTGTCAAACTAAGCATCATGACCCACGCCTTTATTTGGTTTAAGTGACATCACTCTCCTAACTCTGGCAATACAACAATTTTCCACCAGCTGAAAATTTGGTTCCATATTTTAAAACATTTCCTTACCTATGTCACAAAGTCTACAGTTGATTATCATTTCCTTTAAAGAAAACTATATGTGCTTGTTGCTTTGAGTGACAGCAGCTGGCTTCTGAGGTTTGTCTCAATTTGGGCAATGAAAATTGGTAGATCAACTTCCCTGTTGCCTAGTGTCACCTTTTTCTCAACTCCTTTTTCAGAAGTTTGTATATTTACAGTTTTGTAGTGGATTAAAGACATGGTAGACACTGGTGGCTTGGTTCAACTAAACTGTTTCAAATCAAAAGGAAAAGAAACTTTTTACCACTCCTGCAACTCTTCTTTTTTTTGTTTTCGCCAAATCTGAACTTTTAAGCAACAGGAATGTCAATTTAAATCTGATATCACTGTGTACTTTTAATGCACAGGCAGATTCAACATTCCTGCTTTTGTACTGACGATAGCAGAAATCACTGCATAGCTCCCAGGCTCAGCCCATCTTTCTTCTCAAGTGCATGTGAAATAGCAAAGCTGGAAGTAAAAGCAAGGTGTACTGACAAAGGTGAAACCCTCATGTGGACTTTATATTCTTTACATAGCAGTCTTTCGCCCTTTCTCCATACCCTTCTGCTCATTCTCATGCATACTTTTGGCCCACTGATTTATTTGGCTAATGAAAAGGAAGAATCTCAAGTTTCCTTAACAGAAAAGCATATTGTTGTCATTATCAGTGTCATTCAATGCAGGAAAAAAAACAAGCAGACTTTTGTGTAAAACCCTGTCGGTTTGATGATGTGTTTCTGTTCAAGAGTCTGAAGAGTCGGTGCTCTTATATCTGCCCCCTTTACGCCCTGGAACATGGCTTGTGTTAAGCCAGTAAACACGGCGATTCTCTACCCTGTACCCAGAAGCAATCTGCCTGTCTGACCATTGTGCTTTTGGGGCACCTGCTGCAATTCCTGAGTGCCAGAAAACCATAGCCAAGTTTCAATCGCCCTTCTCTTTCTGGGAGGCTCCGAGCAGAAGTGCAATCGTGAGGAGCCAGGAGCATGTGCATTTTTACATGGAAACGTGGGTCAATGTCTCTCACAAAATCTCTCAATGTGGGAGACAGAGGATGCACAGCTTTCTGTCAGTGGAGGGTTATTGCCAAGTTACCCTGCTCCCAGATCCAAACGCAGGAACTTTGTCCTCCCCAAATAGAACAGAAAAGGCTTAGAAAAGGGGTGAGAAACTGCTGAGTGGACAGAAACTGAGCTGCTCTGATTCAGCCTCTTTTCCATATGTCCCATCCTCCCCACCCCTGCCCCTGCCAAAAGTGAGAGGGGGAACTCAAACCCCAGGGTGATTAGCATTGCAGCATGCAAGCCAGAGAGAATAGGCTGTTCCAACTGGAGATAACTGGTATTGTAAAACAGAGGAAGAAAACCATTTTCAACTGTGAACAAGAACAGAACCAGCAACAAAACCCAGAGACTGGGGCCAGCTATATTGAGGCATTCTTTCCACCAGTGAGTTAAAACAAGATGATGGTTTCTTTTACTTTATGAAAGGGAACAAGTATGAAAGCATGGAATCTCTGGTTTCCTCCCCACATAAAAAGAAGACTGCAAGCAAATTAGCTAGGCTGCTTCCTTGTGTTTATAATCCTCTACATAGTTGGCAAAACCCCATAGAAATTCCACTCCAGCTCACATTGCTGCTGTAATCAGGTAAGGAAAGCATAGGGGCCCAATATTCACACCTGGCAGATAAATCTACGAGGAATGTGCCTAGCTGTGTTTGCACAGCCTGCTTCCAGGAATCACCATTTCTTTTTGACACTTGGCTACCAGCTGTTTGATCTGATTTTACAGTTAAGTGTGCAATGCTAGAAACTAACTCTGCCAAAGTTGGACATGTACCATTGTTCCCAGGAACCTAAAGAAGCAGTCCCATTTTTCAGAGATGTGAGCACCCAGCACACAGTAGAGCTAAAGGATATTATTACCCTTCATTTTATGGGCAGAATTGGTCTTTGACAATGGAAAACCAATCAAGATTTAGAGGCAGGGCTTAAAATTACTCTGAAACATTAAAATAGGCCTGACTTTGTATCAAAAAGCCCAATCTGTCTTCTGCCTCCATCATTCCCACCTTTCCTGTACCAGATCCTACACTTTGCAAGCTCTTCATCCCTTGGGCTTACTGGTATGTCTGGATGCCAGCATTTCCTCTGGCACTGCAAAGCACAGGGCTGAGCTGGCATGGGAGTCACAGGTCACCGCACTGCACTGGAGCAAGTTACCACGGGCCAGCTGCTCCACGCTAGCAGGACGGGTGAGCACCCTGCAGCTACTCAAGGGCACTTCTCATAGGGTGATGTGTGCTTCGTACGTGCTGCAGCGTAATAGTCTGCATGGAGTAGCTGCCACGGAGCAACTGATGTGATAACCTGCCAGGAGGGAGAATGGTGCCAGTCTCAAATTCCCAACTGGACACTTCAAGCTCAAAACTTCATGCCCTGCTCTTTGGCACCTATATGTGCCCCGAGTTGCACCCTGTTATGTTTCCATGTTTTAAAACTGTGGAATAAGAATTCAAACACTGCCACAAAGCAGTTAGGAGAGCAAAAGATGGCCCATGGAATGTCGTGGCTCAGGGGAGTCCCATTCTTCATGCAGGGCAGGGGACAATCCAGAGGGGTCATACCTGAAGAGTGCAAGAATGGAGGGGTGCGCGGCCATCAAATCCTGGCACCCAGACCACGCTGGCATTGCTGCTGGTGACTTGGCTTACAGTTACATTGAGAGGCGGGAGAGGCATGGCTATAAAGGAAACAAAGAGACCTTTCAGTATACACAGAACTGAGCAGGTATTCACATGGAAATGGCAGAGGCTTGAGGCTAGAAATTATGCAATGAAATCACTAACAGAAATGGCACAATATCACAACTTTAGAGTGTCCCTGACTGTTGTGAATGAAACGATTATTTTAACATTGAACAAGCTATTGGCACCCGTTCTTTAACAGTCCAGCATACTTGCTTGATGCATACAGGCAGCAGTTGATCTCTTTGATAGCAATGCCAGCGTGTGATGTTCACACCTTCGCTACTCAGCCCTCTTCCCTGCCCCCTCCATTGCAAGGCATGACCCAGCCCTGCACACACAATTGCCTGTGGTCCTACATTGTGAACCAAATCAGGGCTTTAAAATCCCTCCCCCGGTTCTCAGTCCAGCCTCCAAAACCAGCTCTGCCAGCACAAGTCACAGGGTGGTTTGCTGTAGTGACCCGAATACCCTGCAGCTGGATTTGCAGTGGACTGCTTCTTGCTGTGAAAGCGCTGCCTCCAGGTGTCCACTACAAACTCTTCCTGCAACACCCTGGGATGGAGCCTGGACTGAAAACTGTGCCTCCTTCAGCCTTGGGATGAATAAACTCAGAAAGCACTGTGTTTTGTAGAGGGGCAATTCGAGGCAAAGGGAGTGCCTGTTACATGGTTGATACCACACTACAAATTAAGGGCAGAGCCAGGAACAAAATCAGGATTCCCAGACTAGCCATTTAATCAGATGTTTGTGCTTGCCACCACCAAAGAGCAGCACCAGAGCCCTACCCCTCTGCTCTGGCTCTGACCAGACACCTCCATTACTGCAGGGGTCTCTTGCTGTCGCATTAACTTGGACTCTTCGGCTTCCTTTCAGGATCCTCAATGCTTCCCTTTGCCTTCTCTTTTCCTCCCATGTAATACCACATAGTTACTTCCTATTCTTCCCGATATAGCCCTCACCATCTCTTTTTCACTCCCGAGTCTCTCTCTTTATTTAGGCACCTCGCTCCTGAAAAAATTACCAACTTCATGAATACTAACCTTTCCCCTGACCTTTTGCTCATTTAAAAAAATCCTATGTTGCTGCCACGAGTAATACTTTTCCTGCAGCACCTCAACAAATTGTATCCTCAGGAGTCCTCTTCCAAAAACCCAACAGTCCTGAGGACAAGGCTCTGCCTACAGACCAATCTTCCACCTCTCCTGAGCTGTATCCAGTGGAAAGCAGCAGTGGAAAAGTAATTGCAAACCAGGATTCCTCCAGCTGCGTCTTCTACTCTGCCAGAGAGCACCTTTGTCTCTCACGGCACTGAGGACAACCACAGTACTACCTTTGGCATCTCCACAGGGCCATCTTGCAGGAGAAATGCAAAGACCAAAGCCCCCTCCCAGGTTTCTACAGAGGGCCTAGAGGAGAGGATGCGGCAGGGGACAGATAGTGTCACAGATTAACCCTATAAAGCCTTTGTTGTCTGGTTAACTAATTACCAGGACCCAGGGCAGGGAGCTGCCACCTAGATAAGAACCCTGTGCGTGGGTGGGAGGTGGGGCAGCAGAGCATGGGTCTGGGATGGAAGATGGGCAATGAGTTCTTTGCCTTTCACTGAAAGGTCTTTGTGAGTTAACTGAGACTTTTCTGTGTCTTGGTTTCTTTCCCTTTTGATGTTGGGTATTCAGATTTGTAAGCTCTTCTGGGGGTGGGGGAGCTTGCTTTCACTGCTTACTTGGATATCATTGAAACATTGCCCTTAACTCAAGTCTTTTGTAAACACAACTGTAACTTTTGGGTTTAGCAACATGTAATTTTCAACACTGGATGGCAGGCGCAAAGGAGGTGCAGCTATACCACCAGTGAGAATAAATAATCACCTGCTAACACATCCAGGCTGTAATGGTGACAGCCACTGAAGAGGGTTGGCTTGCTAGGACCTTCCCCTAACTCTGGAATTTGTAGAAGGGACAGATGCCTCTCCCCATCATCCGTTGGGAAAAAACTCTGGGTGGCTGTTTCCCGTCGTGCTCTGAAACACGCGATACAACCCTGAAAGTCTTAGCCGTGCACATGAAGGAGAGCAAAACCAGTCTGAAAACAGGACCTTGAGTGTTAACATAATGAGAGTTAACTTCCTCTGTGCTTGTAGAGTGGCTGGAACAATGGGGCTTTGTACACGGCTGGGGACTGTGGGCTACAATAACAGTAATTTTCTGCTTGGAGTACACCCAGCACATTGTGGGCACTACAGAGAATAGATAATGAACAACAACAGCAGCAAATAGGAAGAAATGTTAACAGTTTGTAAATGCCCTAGCAAAAATATTTGCCTCTGGAAACACAGAAGAAACAAATTGTTTAATAAATTGTAGAAAGACTTGAGTCCTCATTAGCAGATGGATCTGTGTAAGAGAGGAAGGCCCTGATCATGCATGTTCGGACAACTACTCCCAGGGGTAATTTCACTGAAGTCTACATCTTCATAGGATCAAGGGCTAAAACATTACCTGGGCCTGCTACTGCTCCTACTCATGTCCTTGTTAGGAGCTTTGCTTTAGTTTTAACAGAGGTTGTACTAGATCTTCAAAACTTCTGCTCTTTAGAAGAGTCCCAGCACTTCCCTAAGTTTATAACTACTCTTTCAGATATATCTTTGAGGTATTACAGTTCACACTTTTACAACTACAGCACTGGACTTGCTATCTAAAGCCTGTTTCTTCTCTCTAGAACATGCCACTTGCTGACGTAACATTTGCCACATCACTTAAGCTTGCTCTTCCTCAGCTCTATAAAGCGTGTGTGTGCGCACACAAGTGTGTGGTGGTGATACATCCCTCCAAAATAGGTTGTGTACATTCATTAGCTGATGACTGACCCCTGTGGAGCACTTTTGGCTAAACGTAACTGCTGGGAAATGCAAGAATTCTGAGGCCTTTCCCCCATCATCTTATTAATGGTTAAAAAAAAAAAACAAACCTCTGTTAACATTAAAAAAAAGAAAGAAGCTTGTTTATGCTAAATGTTATTTCAGATTATGGCTTGATGAGATTTTTTTTTAAAGCATAATAGCTTTGTGAACTAAATTCTATCCCAGGATAAAAATATCCATAGAAGATATATTCCACAATAACTAATTCCCCTGTGTAGACAAGCCTTCAAGGCAACAACTCCAAACATTTTTAATTAAGTTATAAATCTTACTAGTCCAGCATACTGCATTCTTGGCACAGCAGTAACCACAATGTCCTGAAGAAAAATACACCGTAAGAGCAGTAGATCTACAGCTGGATTTTAAGCTATCCTTTAATGAACATTAGCTAATACAACTGTGAGTTCTGATAGAGACATAAATGCTTGCTCTTATTTGTGCTCAGCAATAAGCTACCACTTGGAACAAATGATTTTTGTGACGTGCCTCTCCTGGAACTGATAATCATGTCATTTAATGTGCATGAAAGAATGACTAAAAATTCAAATGCAGAAGCATCTCAACATGAAGAGGAGGGGAAGAGCTGATTGCTCTGATTATCCCCGTTTCAGTCACCTGGAGGAACAGAGGAAAAGTGACATCAACTTAGGGACTTCCAAATGGCAACTGGTCATGCAAAGGCTAGGAATTACTTGTTTTGAATTAGTTTTTCAAGAACAAAGAATTAAAAAAACCCAAATCCATAAAAACAGTGTGGATGAGCGGACTTTACTGGCCACTGGTGATCGCTTTCCTTGTCTTTTTTCAGCATCTAATGTGATGCCAATAGAAGCAAGCAGAAGTAATGGCCTCTTTAGCTCTAACGAGACCCATCTATCTCCAAGAAAGAAAGATTTCCCCAGCTACAGATTTATATCCAGCTTCATCTCTCACAAACAATTTGACTGTTCTGACTCTCTCCTTTTCAAGGAAAAACTGTTACTTGACATCACATTTCCACTCCTGGGTCAGATGTGGTTTATTTTCAACAGCCCGGTATACGGCCCTGCATAGCAAGCGGGAACTGCCATTAGAGCACAAAGCATTGTTTCAGCTGCTGAGAGCTCCAACCAGTGCTGGTTGCTGGCAGCTTTGAGACAACCCCTTGCATTAAGGTGCCCTACTTTTCCTCCCCAAAGAGCAAACCCAAGTCCCTTGCCCATTCTCTTGCACTCTCTCACCTTTAATTTGAACAGTGGCTGTCCGAGACGAAGACAATCCTTTTACGTTGTGAGCTTCGCAGGAGAAAACTGTGCTTTGATTAATACCTGGAGATCAGCCAAGAAAAGGAAAGGAAACACAAACAGCTATGTAATCCAGCTTCAACCTTCAGCAGAATTTCAATTATGTGTGACATGCAGCTCAAGCTGTACAGGCTATTGGAGGGCTGAGCTGGGTGCCAATCCAAGGCACGTGGATTTCAGTGTAATTAAGGTGCTAAACACATTTTTAATGGAGAGAGTATGGCAATGTAGAAAACCTTCCATGGGAGCTTCAGAAAGCACTGAAAAAGAAGGATGAATCTGGCAGAACAGCAGCTCACATTGCTCAGTTAGTAATGTCCACTCATTCTGGTGAGCGTCTTTGGAGCAAGGATCATGCTGAACCGTGTGCTTATACAAAGCCCCAATGCTCTGGACATCAGCCTGCCACCAGAGCAACAACCATCTTCTAACTGGGCTATAAGCCCAGGCAAACTTCCAACCAGACACTGCAGATTTCAAGCTAATGCCCACCTGTCCCTCACCTTGCATCAGACTTTTCAAGACACGCAAAGGAAGGGGAAGTAAAATGCTACCGCAACAGCACTGAGGCACTTTCTAGGGGTGATATAAGTGAGGATTACGCTCCCTCTCTTCTGTAAGTATCCATCCATCCCACAGGGCCTGAACATGGCATCATACTGATGTCCAGCTGCTCCAAGATGCATAGAGGTATTGCTACTTAATCAGAATTGAGACAGATTTGCAAAGCTGCCTGGAGAAGTGTGTCCAGCATACGCTTTCACTTGACTTGGCCCTCAGTTGCCTTAGAGGGCTCTAGCTAATAAAAATTAAGGACTGACACACTATGGGCATACAGTTTAGGAGGGAAAAAGATTTCAGAGCTGCATGGAGCAGCTTGCACAATATCTGCCTTTGCCCTTTGATTCATCTCCCAAGCCCGAGATTAACAGCATTGCGAAGAAGGTGTAGTGGAAGAGAGGAGAGACTGCTATAAAATGAAAGAGCAAGTATTTTAGCTTCTTCCATTCACCCCAGTGAACCAGAGGAAAATGCTTCCAGCAGGCTGAAGGCCAGGCAGCAGAGCAGAGCAGCACCTGATGTGGTAGGCATGTCCCAAAGACAGAACCAAACACAACCCTGCCCTGAGGAAAACACAAAACACACCACAAACCAAGATCTCCTTGCTCTCTCGTGCATCGCCAGCACTGCTTTCCAAATACAACAATCCTTTTACCAAACCAACTGCTTGCTGAACCTTCTAGATGTTTGCTTTCTAGCCAGTACTTTACTATTTCAGAATTTGATACTTTCTTTAGCTAGCATTGCTTGTTTTCTTACCAACCATCTTTTCTGGCATGCTTTAGCAATCTGACCATGCAGCTTGTGTCTTGCTGCATTTTTTCTGTTGCAAAGACCTACCCAAGGGACATCCCAAAGAACACTGAAAGGGGCAAAGAAAGGTGCTGCGGATGAATATATATAATAACAATTCATCTGGAGAATCATTAGGAGCAGATGCCCTTCTTCAGGCCTCCATGCCACTGTCCCAACAATGACAGAAGTTTTGTAAGGCACTGTGGGATGAGTTCAGTGGAAGAAGGGAGACTTATTTTTTATTGTCTTTCCCCTCTCGACTATCAATCTTTTCATGTTCCATTTCAACAGGCAGATTATATCATAAGGGAGCAGTTTTCATTTCCAACTTGGAACAGCATCGAGTGGCTACGTAACAGAGGGAGCAGATGATAAAACCATTGCAAATCACAAACCAGGTTTTGATTTGCATATAAATTAGGTTCTAAGGGAAGGCTTAATAGGATTGGATAGCTCAAAGGATGGCCAAGGATGTACAGAAAGAAACTCCCCCTGGGTGTAACTGTATTAACACTGATGAAGAGGCCCCAGAGATGACTCTTAGTCGTAAAATCTTTTCTTGCTAAATAGCTAGTTCAACTTTGGGCGGCTGAGAATAATAAAACAGCAGCAAAGAGAAGAAGTAACACAAAGCTGTTGGACAACGAACTAGAATAAAGTTACCTTTAGGAGGTAACTACAAGAATAGCTGCTGTCAGGTCCTGGTAGAGATACATTGCCCTTCCCTGAAAGTGGGCTGAAGAGAGGCCTGAAAACCTACTGGCTCCTGAGTTCTTCAGCTGACGCTGCTGGGGAAGGCAGTCTTACCACCGTGCACCTAGTGCTCGCTCTGGGGCGAACCTTGATCTCTGAGGATATCAACCAGCCCACTTCAGCACCAATACAACCACTCTAAAAGTGTCAAACAATTACATGAGGCAGTCAGGTTTTAACGATAAGAGCATCCAGCAAGCCTGCAAGAACAGAGAGGGGAGGGAAGAGAGGGGAGAGCAGTGTGTGACATGGCTGTGCACAGAAGGAAGAGGTGGCATCTGTTATGTGTGAATGCTTGGAGATTTCCAAGCCAAATGTCACCAACAGAGACACGTAATATAACCATAAACACCCTCCATGAGGTGGAACAAGAGAGGCACCCAATGCATCATCTGTCCAGTAGCATCCTTACCACAGTGCCAGCCCCACCCAAGCTCTCTAAGAGCCTGTGCACCTCAAGCCAGCAGAAAATACACAGAGCAACGACCACCCCTCGAGATGATCTGGTTTTATATGCGATCATGATCTCTCAACCCTCAATGTACAGTCAAAGACCATTCTCACACTATGTGGCTACCCAGTGTCACTAGACATGATCAGAAGAGAGCTCTCCTCCTCTTCTGATGCTCAAAGTGATCCCCTGCATTGGCAGCAGCCTTACCTGACACATTTAAGATGGAGGGGGAGATGTCTGGAAGCCCCACTCTAGAGTCTCCCATCCACCAGACAATTGTCACTGGTTCAGGGGGACCAACAGCAGCACAGGCCATATGAAATGGGGCATTAGGGGACACGGACACATCCTCAGGTTCCACAGTAAAGTAGGGCACACCTAGAAAAGCAACAGACAAGTGATAATAACTGAAGAGACTCCTTCTGTCTCTTGTTTATTTCCACTAATACCGGTGCCCAACACTGGACACCCATCTGCCCTGCCCCTATGCCTAATCCGACTCCCTCTAAGCCCTTCACAAGAACCAAGGGTCAGATATGCTGGATCACCTCAGGGCATGAATGTCTACATACTCCCACTAGAAGTTAGAGAGAAAAAGAGTGAAAATGCCTTTGAAAAACCTCTTTCACTGAGTCTCCTTCAAGACTCCCCTATGAAGTAGCTTTTAGTGGCAGTATTTGCTCAGTTTTTCAGCCGGAGAGACTGGAGTTTAAAGAGGCAACAGTCAGTAAGTTTAGCAGCAGCAGACACCACTTTCAAAAGCTACCTAATCCAGCTGCAGATATTTCTTGCCACACATTAAAAACTGAAGCTTGTGAATGTGTTGAACTAGCAGCTGTAACAAACCCATGAATGAGGAAAGAATCCTCCCGGTGAGAGACTGGGATCATTTACAACGCTCTCTCCACAGCTTAATTGACTGGAGCCACCTTCCAGCACACTCCGACACAATGAGAACCAGGCTGCCTTGGAGTTAGGGGTAATTTGTTTCAGAGCTGAAGGCTATCCATGGACACAGCTCTCTTGATAACTATCTGTTCCCCACTGTGGAAAGACTCCTGCTTATTACAACAGGCCTCAGATCAGGCCCATAGGGAGCAAAACACAGCTGCAACGCTAACTACCTCAGGTCATCTCTAAGCGGCAATAGCTGAGCGTAACTCAACACATCAAGAGATGTGGTTCCTCTCCTGGGCGATGCCAAAACTCCTGCGGTTTCAGTGCTCCAAACCAGTAACAGAAAATTCACCAGCCATCAGCACCAGCGCTGACCCTGCGCGACAGCCAGCACGTGCTTCTGGTGGCTGGTGGAGGAGCTGAAGGCCCAGAGAAACGCCGAGCTCCATCTTACGCTCAAAATGTCGGGTGTCAAGCGCAGCCGCTACCAACTGCGACTACACCAAAACAAGGTATTCTCAGCTGGAAGAAGCGTGTTCTGAAAACCACTGATCTGCTGCCTCACAGAAACAGGGGAACGACAACATTGTGGATTCACATGCTTAAATTACGCTGCCTGTCCCTGGCCAAAGATGACAGGCCCAAGCGGCTCCAGTTGGTGGGGCAGATGCTGAGCGCCTCCAGCAGCAGGCAATTAATGTAGGTGCCTAAATATGGATTTAGAAGCCTAACGCTTGACATTCCCCCCTACACTCCAGTTGAAAGTGGTGTCCTCAGTCTTTCACGGACCATCAGTTGCTGTTTGTGTCTTTTGGGCGGCAGTTTCTCTGTGCCTTCCTCACCTCCTTGCCACTCCCTTTGGAGTGGCAAGTAAATGAACAAACTGAAACAGGTCTAAAAATAGGTCACTTCAGGAACGATGGTGCCTATCTGTGCAAAGGTTAATGCTCAATACAGGTATATCCACCATCATGACTTACTGCTGGGTTTTGCTTACATGGTTTTTTTTTTTTTTATTGCAGTCATACATAAACAATAAAAGTGAATAAACTTTCTAGATACCAGCTGTGACACCTCCACCTGCTTTGCTCTCCTTCTCCAAGGAAGATTAGAAGGGAAAATACCACTGTTTCTTCTACCTGTTAGCAGGACTCCTGCCTCCTGTCCCTTTGCCACAGCACCCAAGGTAACCTTTTGGGAGAATCCTGCCCAGCTCGGCAGGTTTTCTCACTTTAGGATCAGCCAGCCAGATCTGACAAGACCACAATTAAAAACTCTCATATTTTAGGGAGTGCAGCTGACTCATCCAGCTCAGGAACTTGCACTGCCTCCGTATGTATGTTACCTGGATACCTCAGTGCCTGTGACACATTTAGCCTCCCAGTTCCTGGTACAAGAGGTGAGTGCTGGCACCCCCCTTTCATGGATGCACCACGGAGGCACTGAGCAGCCAACAGGCAGGGAATCACTGGCAAAGCAAGGAAATGAGCCTGTCTACTCCCTGTTCCAAGCCAGCACCCAACCTACAGGGCCAATTTTTTTTCTACAACTCAGTTTTTAGACAGTGTTAATGCAGGGGGATGTGTCCACACAGGTGTGGCTGGGGCTCTGGCTGTAGACAAAACAGGGGCTAATAGCCCTGGGAACAGCCACATGGTCAGAGGTGTAATTTCAGAGAGAAAGTTCTGTAAGAAACATAATCCATATTTTTAAGACGGTCACACTCCACAGTGTGCCTCTTAGATTACCTCCCTGGGCACTGAATGCTATCATGTTCTTGGTAAGGCCAGAGTCTAGTTTCTAAACCAGAAAACAGTTTCAAAATAATTTTGTTTTTGTAAATTCTGAGGAGTGTTTCATAAGATCAGACTTTTTAGCTGTATTACAAAGACAGTTCAAATACTATCGCTGCAAATTCTGCCTGATACAGACTACCTAAGTGGATCTCAAGGCAGATATTAGCACAGAAATCCATTCTAGCTCACTTTAAGTTACATCACCAGTAGTCCACAGTTGTTTTGTGTGGTACACTGAAGGGTGTCAGCACCTACAGAAGGCTGCAAACGATCAGAGTAAAGATGCCCTCTCAGTCAAAGGGGACAACAGCTGTTATCAGTACAGCAACCAGTTGTAGACAAGACAAAGCCGGTATGCCCAGGGAAGAAATACGTACAGAGATAACAGTGGGACTGATAGGCTTTTGCATTCCCTGGTGTTTTCTTATGCTAATAGCTGACACATTTTTAAAAATCCACACCTTATCACTACCGGTTATTTTAAAATTTTTTCTACTGTCCTGGTTTCATCCGGGATAGAGTTAATTTTCTTCTTAGTAGCTAGTACAGTGTGTTTTGGATTTAGTGTGAGAATAATGTTGATAACACACTGATGTTTTAGTTGTTGCTAAGTAGCACTTATCCTAAGTTAAGGATTTTTCAGTTTCCCAGGCTCTGCCAGCATGCAGGTGCACAAGAAGCTGGGAGGAAGCATGGCCAGGACAGCTGACCTGAACTAGCCAAAGGGATATAAGGGATATTCCATACCATAGAACATCATGCTCAGCATATAAACTGGGGGGAATTGGCCAGGAGGTGCAGATCGCTGCTCAGGCATTGGTCAGCACATGGTGAGCAACTGCATTGTGGATCACTTGTCTTTTCTTGGGGGTTTTGGGGGTGGGTGTTTTTGTTTGGTTGGTTTTTTTTATTATGTTCCTTTTCATTACAGTTATTATTGTATTTTATTATTATTGTTGTTAGTATTACATTTTATTTTACTTTAGATATTAAATCATTCTTATATCAACCTACAAGTTTTACCCCCCTCCCCCCCCCCAGTTCTCCTCCCCGTCCCACTGGGAGGGTAGGGGGTGAGTGAGCAGCCTAGTTTCTGGCTGGGCTTAAACCATGACATCCACTGACTCCCGTTTCACATGATTACATGCTCAGTTCAATAACTAGCTTCTGCTTTTCTCATAAAGGCGATTAGTTGCATTTTTTTAGCTTATGTTTCCACTGTAAGCTTTGGCCTTCATCCTCAACACTCCCCCTTACCCTGCTGCAGTTGTTTTTTGTGACTTTGATATTTTTTGCCTGTGCTATCCAGAAGGGCTCCTTTGTTTTTCAGAAGGCTTAGCACACTGAGCTACCCAATCACTCCTAACAGACCCACTATGCAAATACAGCCACCTCTGGAGCAGGCCATGGTAATTGGTATAGAAATGGAAACTGCACAATAGAGAGCGTTTTAAGCTGTAAACAATGTTCTCCAGTTGAAACTGCACCTGAAAATTTAGGTGGATGAAAGCCTGGGATTTACAGAAGGCAGCAGGGTAAGTGTTCCTCTTCCTATGAGAACTGCTATGAATGTTTCCACGGCTCTGAGCGAGTGAGACCTTTACTGCAAAACACCCAGACCACACCACCTCCCACAGCACCCTCCCTGCTCCCCCTCTTTAAGACTGTTGATTCAGCTCTGGCCCAAAGTGTTACCAATTACATCCAAAAAGCCACTTTTTGCTGCAAATGCACTGTTCCTGTCAACTTCCTCACCAAATATTAAGCCATCCTATGAATACTAGCTTCTGAGGATCTAACATAATCATGGCTCAAGGGAAATGAAACTAGCAACAGTAAGAAGCCACCAATCCACGCTGCCTTGGGCAACTTTTGGGCAACCATGTAGAAGTTACTCTTCATCAGACAAGACTGGACAAAGCAGTGCCACATGGAAGAGTCACAGCAATGAAGCGCTGATGTACAGCGCTTCTCCCGAAACTCAGAATTGGGCTAAAACTGTACCTTGCCCTCAAAGACCTGTTTGGCTGATACACAGAATGAGGCTGTGTGACCCTGCTTTGAGAAGTGGGTTGGACCAGATGATCCCCCATGGATCCCTTTCAACCTGAACTATCCCATCATTCTACAAATTATTTGGAGATGAAAGCAACAACAGATTGATGGGCTGGAAAGAAATCTGTGTGCATGAAAGGATCTTGTTTCCTAACGTGCCAAAATAAAACCAGAAGGTAATGCACTGACGGCTCCTCTCCTTGAAGCTACTCTCCTATTTCTTACTCCTGCTCTGTAGTGATCTCACTACAGTTAGCAGCAATGGTTCAGAGCCAAGAAGCCCATCACTGGAGCAATCTGCTCTCACCACTTCCACCTAGAGCATATTGGTGGGTCAGCCCTGAAAGGAAACCAGCACTACTACTCCTCCTTACCTTCCACTATGAGCCACACTTGCTGTGATTCTTCCTTCTTCCCCCCGTTCTCAACCTGGCACCAGTACTTCCCAGAATCTGTCCGCTCGACGGATTTCAAGCTGAAAAAAGTCAAAAGCCATATCGATATTTTACGTGGATAAAGCATGTTTTTGCCCCAAAGGACCCTCCAGTGTTTGGCAAACCAGATGCACGGACAACATCCACTGAGACGCAGCCAGCTCTGGGGAGGAGGGTAACAGCCAGCCAGCACAAAGCGCGTGGCAAAACAGCAGAGACGGGGGGCTCCTCTCTAAAGTGGGTGGAGGGAATCCTCAGCAGAGCAGACAGCCTTCCTCTGAAACATCCTCATAGAAAGCCCATCATTTGTGTCCTCTGAGGATAGGAAGGGGTTGGTCATCTCGATCCTGAATCGTGGTTCTAGCTAGCCTTCAAGAGCGACAGCTTGGCCTACAATGTCTGAGCTATCAGGAAACTCCAAATCACAAGCCTCCAACAAGCCTGACTGTTTTGTCTCAGTTAGGTGACAGGACTGCTGACAGCCTCATATATACAGGAGCAGATGGGTCAGAAAAGGGTCCCCCCTCGCCTCAACGGCACTCAGTGTTATTCTTATCCCAAGAGCACCTCACACTGCAAAACTCCTTGGGCCTCTCGATTTGGGATTTCAGGGGGTTATGCTGGCCTACTCCAGCACAGGACCTCACCCTACGAACTCTTCTGGGTCCTCCCTTGCTCAGCAACAGCTCCCCTTCTGAGAAGATGCATCCAAGCAAGGGAAGGCAGCCACAGGGACTGAGCAGCATTTGAGTCGTAGGCCTCCGGTTCAGGGGAGAAATTCTGCTCCTTGCTCCACTGCTGGAAGTCTGGGGTATCCTCACTTGCCGTTAGCAACACGAGGCTAGCACGGTGAGTAAGGGCAGAATTTGGTCCCAAAGCAACAAGGTCTCAGCTACCAAAGGCACCAGTGTGACTCTGAGCGCCTGTCAATGTACAAATGCTGGTTGCCCCCCGTGGGATGTGCAGCCATGCGTCTGCTGCCATGCAGGGATCCTCAGCAGATCTGATGCCCGCAGTCCGCCTTGGGGAAGGGGAAGAACGTCTCGGGAAGGAAGACAGAAAAGGGAGAGTGTTTGCTGAAATGCACAAAATGGACCCACTACAGCCTGATTTTCAGAGCTGTACCTTCAAATGGCATCAGCTGTCCTGCCCATCCAGCCGCATGTTCTGAAACACAGCGATCGCAGCAGAGAGTCACACAGTGGGTGGTAGAAATGATCACTTTAGGAGAAGAAAGGAAAAAGGAGAAAAAGATACGGACACATCTAGATTTAGCACCCTAACTTAGCCCTGGTGCTGCAGAAAGACCTCAGTGGAGGAAAGCAAGAGGTGAGAAAGGAGATCAGACTGAGAGATTGTGAGGGGCAAAGAGAGTTAACTGGTGGAACTGGGGTAAGTAAACGGCATAGTTTCAAGACAAACTGTTTCCATAACATAATGTTATGAAATAGTTTTACTGGGCACAATTTTTTTCCTATCAAAATGTTTCTTACAGGCAAGCTTTAGCACAGGGACTTTTAGTTGCTGGAATCGGAGACTCCGTGCAATGTCAATCCAAGAAACCTAACAGGAGATGAAGCTGGAGCTCAGGGAAGAGTGATTCTCAGTCAGTCAACAGTTTTGAGTCCCCACAGTGATGGCATGTTTGCTTGTTCAAGCTCTCTTTATGCATAAAAAAAAAAGCCAGAGCAGAACCTTGGGTCTTGTTTAACTCAGTACTTCCAGAACTAGCTGACATCCCTCTTCTGCTGAAATAAAGGCACAGAGAGCTGCTTTGCCGAAGAGAGTTTTTGCGCCTCTGAGCGGGGCAGGACGGATACCACGTAGTGTAAATGTATTAGGAAAGTCTCTGCAAAATGACTCAGGGATGGTTCAGGTGACAAACACTCCTCCCCAAAGAAAGGAAGAGGATGTAGTCCTGGGAGTCTCATTTCAATTAACAATCCTCACCCTTTAGGCAGACTGACAGCTCAAGAGAGACAGTAAGAGAACGGAATGAGTATGAGAGAGAAAAGCTATTTATATAAGTCAGACCTTAGTCTTCCTAAGTGTTCCTGCGCGGCAGAACAAGATGAACAAACAAGGTGAGAACATCCTTTCACCTTGAAGTCACGTCTCAAGCATCACAAGCATTAGCAAAGCACCTGTCACCACAGTAGTCAGGAAACTAATATGGTTCTACTGCATAAAACCTCAGCCCTCAGTGGCATCAATTCTGCTCTCAGTTATGCCCTTGCCACAGACTGAACTGCAGACCTAAGGACCCTGCCCGCCAAGGGCACTGCAGTTGCATAGATATAGCTGACAGCAGAAAACTGTGCAATAGTTTCCGCGATATTCTTCCTTCTCTGCATCTGTTGTACCTGAGGAAGCCGATCCAGTGTTCTTCATCTACTGGAATGTACACCTGGTCTACGCTTTGCACCACTGCTCCGTCCTTGATCCACAACATCTCGGGATCTTCCATTCCCTCGAGGCTGCAATTTAGTTTCACGGGTTGACCCTGGGACACCTTTAATTTGATTGGAGATCCTGTAAATTTCATACCTAAAAAAAAAATACTACTCCGCCCCACCCCCAGAAGAAGGGGGGTTGGAGTACAGCAAATTACTCTAGGTTGGCGGTCTGGCATTACACACCCTACCAGCACACACTGCAGAGGGGTCTGTTAGTCTCAGCACTACTCTACTACGTCTGCTAAGCAATAGTCAAAGGCAAGCACTGAAGGCACAACTGCTGGAGAAAAGTGGTGGCTTAGTGTGTACGTGGGGCTTTTTTCAACTCATGTAACAGCAGGGTGAGCTTCTGCAGAGCAGTGCCCAGGCAGAGCCAGACAGAAACGCTGGGAGCTTTGCCGTGTCAGTGATCGAGCAGCGCTAAGTGTGTTCACTCAACACAGTACCACACCTCCCTCTTTTCCCCAGGCTTGAATTTCAGCTACGGTGTTCCTGTGCTGCTCAGAAATCATCATGCTTGCTCCATTGTATGCATTTGTAAAGAGCTGGGATATAAGAAAGAATCAATTATGTCTCGTTATTCAGCATACACTCTTCCTCTGCATTACAGAAAGCTTCTCTGCAATTTGCAAACCCATGAAAGCAAAGCCTATTCCACAGCATACCTCACCGAGAAGCAGAACTGTTTACAGAACAGATATTTCTGTTGTGTGATGTGGGTGTGTGCTCAAACGAGCCTCCGTGACCCTTCAGTCCAGCTAAAGGACCACGCTGTGCCCAGAGCTATATAGTTGCGACCCCGAAGCAGCAGGACCAGAGTCAGTGGAACTGCTCAGGTTTACATCGACACAGAAGTGATCAGAATTTGGCCCCGAGCACTGTTACATGTGTGGGTGGATGGGGAGTGTTTCCCTCAAGCAGAAGCGAATACATGGAATGTGTTACCATGAGAAAACACGGAAGCCAACTATAGAAGCGCATTTAAGAAAGAAAGGCATATAAAGGAGGAACCAGAGCATCAAAGGAGACCGTGGGAAAGCAGGAAGGTGGAAAACAAATGTGAAGCTAGTTTTGTTAGGGAGAGTGGCCGTTTCCTATGCAGTGGCACAGGACTGACAGACCAGAACAGGTCTAGCCTTGCTCAATATTATGCCCTAGCAGTGGCCTCCACAACCTTCAGAGAAAAATTACTCCAGCACTCTTGCCCGGCCACGTACCACAGCACATTACAACTTCACCCAGTTCACTGGCTGGTCAGCTTCTCACAGGATGCCTCGCTAGCCTACAGAGCCAGACAGAAAAACGCCAGTTGTGAAATCCAGAGCGCTGCTAAGCAAGCAGCCCTGTTGCTCTTGAACTCTGTTACAGCCTTCCAGTGATCAAATACAGATATTTCTTATGTGCCACCTCCCTTCTTGCCTCATGTGCCACCCTCCCACAGCCAGGAGGGCACCACCTCACAGGGCAGAGCAGCAGCAGAGGGACTCGCAGCGTGGTTCTAACAGCTGGAAGAAGGGGGAGCCAGGACTGTGGGACCAGCCGGCGCCCTGCCACTGGCAGCCGGTACCCGGCAGAGCACCGGTGGTCCGGGAGCAATCCCAGAACACAGGCAGAAGGACTTTATTCCTTTCCTTAATGAGAACCCCCAGCTTGTTAACAGCTGGTTTCCCACACCTTTCTATATGCTGTTATTAATTCAGCAAATTCACAGAGGGCACTGGAAAATTGGTAGGATGATAATTTTAGTTTAGTTGCTACAGCTTGTTTGCTGGGCTAAGGAGTTAATCACCTTGGGTGAGGATGATCTAACCTCACATTACTTAACTCACCTGTAACACAAATGACATGTCCCAGTGCATGCCAGAAAGCATCCTCCCTTTCACCACTCACAATACCGGAATAAAATATGAAAGCTTTATAGCAGCTCTCTCCATGTTACAGAAAACTGATGCAGCCAGGCTGCTGAACGCACGCACAAATTGACAGATACTTTCATTACAGGTGCCTTCGTGGAAGAGCAAACTACTCAGCTTTCCTCAGACTGCCCTGCTGAAAGAGTTAGCCACAAATTAAACAAAGAAGTGTTGTTAGAGAGCCTTTATGGTTTTCAGCTCCCATACAAATTAATGATGTAGGATATTAACATACAGTACAAGCGTTCAGCCTGAGTTGTAATTCTCCACATCGCCCAAGTATAATCCCTCCGTCAAGATCAACTGAGATGACGACATACAGATTGGGGATTTTTAATAAATTCACAGGTTTTTGACAAAGATCCAGTTTTAGCCGCAGCATCTCTTCCTGCAGGTATCAGGAAGAAGCACATAGGAGGCCAACATGGATTTTAATTTCCACTTGTTCCTCCTTCTACTCTCCCACTCACGATTTCTTATCTGGTAACATTCTTGCCAGCGCAAGAAATAATCTCATCCAAATAGGTTCCTCCAAGCCTACCTGTAAGAGCTGCAGCAGTTGAAATGTATAGCTAGGAAATAAAATTGCATTAAATTTCTTATCAAGCAGTCATCTGACAGAATTGACAGCAAACGAACATACTAGTTGCCAAAATACATGACATATCTGCTTGCTTGTTTTTTAAACTTCCCACCTCTGAATATTTTGATTCCTAGGAACAGAATTATGGTTTTTGTGGAGTTATTTTGGGAGTGGAGATGTCTACTCATGCACACAAGGGGAAAGGCTTTTCGCCGCTCAGGCTGCTTAGGTTCCCTGCTCTAGCGATGCAACCTGTACCACAGCCTCTCCAGCTCAGTGTCACCGCACGCACGCTGCTCCACAGGCAGCGCGGAGCCCAAACTCCGGGTGAAGTCGGCAGGAGGTTCGCCCGGGTGCAGAGAGGCTCTCCCACGCTGCCCTTCCCTGCCCACCCGGGGGTGAAACTTCGGAAAAGGAGTTCAGGAGGGGAAAAAAAAACACAAAAAAACCCAACACAACAAAAAAACACCCAACAAAAGCCCCTCAGGAATGCGTTAGCGCCCGGCTTTCCTCGGCGACGATCCGCGCTAGGCAAATACCAGAGCAATGCCTCCGCAAACAACGGGGAGGATTATCTGGGTTTGCGACTTACAACTCCGGACTTGCAGGCAGGCGGGCGAAGCTGGCAGCACCCCGCACAGCCCGGGCTCCCCGCCGGCCACCGCCGCCTCCCGAGACCCACGTCGCTGGCCCCACAGACGCGGCGGAGCCCCCCGCGCCCGGCCGTGAGCGGGTACACACCCACACACAAAGCGGGCCGGCCCCGACCCCCACCTGTGGCTGCCCGAGCCCCTGCGGCCGCCCCACCGGGCGGACCCCGCGCCACGCCGCCTCTGCCCGCCGACCGGTGCCCGTGCAGCCAAGCCGCTGTCGCCCTCAGCGGGCTGCCGACACCTGTAGAGCCGGCG